AACTTACTAGATTTCTTGGATATATATATTTTTTTTTCATTTCTACTGAATATTATCCTCCAAATCGGCCCTGCCTAAAGGGGTAGTTTATCTTTCATTTTTTTTCTTTCCATTTAGATTTTTGTAGTCAATGGATCTAACAGACCGTCGCAACCCTTTCAACAATCTGGTTTTTCCGCCGCCGCCGCCGCCACCGACCTTCACAAACCCTATTTTTCCACGAGTCAGCTCTCCCGGCACGAACTTCCCCATTATTGCCATCGCAGTGATCGGAATCTTAGCCACCGCGTTCTTGCTTGTAAGCTATTACGTCTTCGTCATCAAATGCTGCCTTAATTGGCACCAAATCGACATTTTCCGCCGCCGCAGACGAAGCAGTGACCAAAACCCTCTAATGATTTACTCTCCTCATGAGCTAAACAGAGGTCTCGATGAATCCGCCATTAGAGCAATCCCAATATTCAAATTCAAGAAGAGAGACGTTGTTGCAGGAGGAGAAGAAGAGCAGAACAAGAACTCTCAAGAATGCTCTGTTTGCTTGAGCGAGTTTCAAGAAGACGAGAAGCTGAGGATCATTCCCAATTGCTGCCACGTGTTCCACATTGATTGCATAGATATCTGGCTTCAGGGCAACGCGAATTGTCCCTTGTGCAGAACCAGCGTTTCTTGCGACGCAAGTTTCCCTCTTGACCTAATATCTGCACCGAGCTCTTCCCCGGAGATTAGTCCTCCTTCTCGCAACCGGATTCGTGATCAACCTGACGCGGTTTTAGGAGGTGACAGAGACTTCGTCGTGATCGAGCTTGGGACCAGTGATGGTAATAACAGACAAAGCGTGAGAAACAGAGAACTCCTTCCGGAACAAGAAAGGACCGAGGTTTCTCCTAAAAAGTTTGATCATTGCGCAATGCGTAAGAAAGGAATATCTTATAAAGTGACGAGTATGGGAGACGAATGTATCAATACTCGAGGCAAGGATGATCAGTTCGGTGCAATTCAACCAATAAGAAGATCGATCTCCATGGATTCATCAGCTGACCGCCAACTCTACCTTGCGGTTCAAGAGGCGATTTGCCGGAAAACTGGGAAGATCCCGGCGGTGGCCGGAGAAGATGGAGCTTGTACGGAAGATTGTAGCAGTAGTGGTGGTGGTGGTAATAACAAAGTGGTGAAGAGATGTTTCTTCTCTTTTGGAAGTAATAGAGGTTCTAGAAGTTCTTCAATATTGCCTGTTTATTCAGAACCATAATTGTGTTTTCTTCTTCCTTACTCATTTAAACAAAAAAAAATATTCTTTTGTTTTTGTATTTTTTTTTAATTGGTTATATTTTGAGGTGAGTTAAAAGTATTTTGGAGGTTGATGTAGAAAAGAAATATATGTGCACTGTTTACAAGTCAAAGTAGTTGATGAGTATTTGAATAGTAATTTTCTTGAATGTTACAAGGAAACAAAAAAAGTCACACCAACTGCTGTTAGATTTCTCACATTTTAAAAATTGAACACTTTTTGTAAACGAATATTTGGTTACCATCTCTGTAAATGAATAGTGCAATTCCAGACTGAAAAAAACCCCACTTCTAGGATTGAACATAAACATGTTAAAACAGACTGAAACTTGAATGTGTTGATAGACATTTCTTCATAGGTAGAACAGATTTTATTTGTTGTTATATATATGATACATTTCTTAACTGATAACTCAACTATACATATAAGTTTACTTCAAGTTCTCTGTTTCCTTCCACATACTCACTCTTTCTGTTTCAATTTTTTTCTTCCCCATTCCTTTTGATATGTTTTTTTTTTTGTAAATCGTTTCAAATAATATCCATCAACCTAAAGATCACATCTTGATAAAGTTTGCAAAAATAACAATTTACCACTAACACTGAAAGGGAAAATTATTTTATGCTGATAGACAACCACCAGCTTTCTATAAATTTAGATTAAACACAAAGATTTCACCATACTCAAGGGTGGACATTTAAGCTGACAAACACACACAATTCTTTATTTCTTTCTGGTACTACATTACTTTATTAAGGGAGAGCTAAGAGGAAAAATAGCTTAATATGGAAAAAGAAGACAAGGACCGACCCAACAGATGCAAGAGACTCGTATATGACATATATATTATAAGTCAAGCAATGGAGTTTACTCTTTATGAGCTTTTCATATCTTAAAATAGGCCAGATGCGATTCGTCATTGATGTCTTGCTTTAGGTATCCAGCTGAATACTCAGGTATAGTGAAGTCTCTGTATTTCGCAGGGTTCTCTTCAGACAACAGCTCTTTCATTGGTCCGTAAACTGTTGGATTTGGATGCATACTCGTGCTGAAAAAGCTCGCGACTGAAATCCTTGGTCCAGCTTTGTTTGCGAGCACCCTGTGCTGCACGCTTATGAACCTGTCGTTGGTTACCAGCTGCGGAAACACCCAAGAAGAAAGAAACAAAATTCAGTCAAGTTATCTCAAATCTCACTAAAAAAAACACACATTTAGTACTGTTTCGTATATAATGAGCTTACCTGCAAGAAATCTCCGATGTTAATGACGAGTGCCCCGGGAGTAGGTGTGACATCGACCCAACAGTCTTGATGAAGAACTTGAAGACCACCGATCTGGTCTTGGAGAAGAACAGTGAGGAAGGAGTTGTCTGAATGCTTACTTGTTCCCAAAGTTAGTTTAGGTTGTGGACAGGGAGGGTAATAATGGCTGAGCATAAGCACACCCTTCATGCAACCCTTGCTCTTAAGGGTATCAGAGCTCAAACCAAGTGCTTCCGAGAGAAGTTCAAAGAGTAAACCACCTAAGCTCATCACATGCTTCGAGTATTCAAGGACACCTTCCCTGTGATTTTTGAAAATCAATTAATCCTAAAACGACGAGTCTTTTAACCAGTGATCAATTATTTCATATAAGACTCTTGTTCAAAGGAAAAACCAAGTTACCTGCAGGCTTCTGGGATCTCCTCAGGCTGTGGAGGTTTTGGGTCCATGTAAATACCGAATGTGTCTCTCCAGTTAATAGACGACGAGCTATACAGATTGAAATTGCTGTGGTAGACAAATTTCTTGCTGAAGTCGCGGGAGAAGTAAGATTTCTTCACCTCGATATCTTCCTCATGAAACTTACGAACTCCATCTTTGATCTCTTCAAGAACGGTCAAAGGAACACCATGGTTGATCACCTGGAAGAATCCCCACTTCTCCGCGGCGTCTTTGACCTTCTTGACGACGGCTTCACGCGAGGCTGCGTCCCCGTGAACGCCTGTAAAGTCGATGATAGGGATTGCGAATTCCGAGTTAGCAACAGGAGCTTTCTTGTCGTTCAAGGTACCTAAAGGATCGTGGAAGATGCGAGGAATTTCAGTGATTTGAGCATCAACGAGGCCTTTCACGCCTGCTTTTGTCTCATCGAAAGCCTTGCGCTCACTGTAAGAGTCAAATTCTGTTGCCATTATCTTTTAAGCTTTGTGAAGGGTTTTTTTTTGTTTACTTTGTTAAAGAACCTTTCTCAAGATAGTACAAGATATAAAAAAAACTTCATAGGAGACAGGGATATAAAAAGGGAGAGCGAGTGAGGAAAGTGTCGGTTGGAGGTTGTGAATTTACCACTTGTGGAGTAAATTCGTTTTTGGGACTCTTCGCATAACTACTACTTGCCTCGTATAGGGGACCGATCCACACATTATTTTCACCGCAGACAAAAATATACTCCATATTACTACTTCGCATAACTACTACTTGCCTCGTATAGGAGTATATAATTTTGAATTAATAATTTTTTATTTATTTTGGGAGCATCAATTTATTTTAAACATTAATATAACTACAATTCTGATCTGGTTTTTGGGTCACATAAGTCACAACCTTTTCATAATAATTACATGTAATACAATTCTTGTGATAAATTTTTGTCTCTTCTTTTTTGAGGGGCCAAGGATGAACTTTATCTCTTTTTTTTTAATCTTTATACTGATCAAAATGAGTAAATCAATACAAAAAAATAAAAATATTTAACTCAGTAATCTTAGGTGATCCCTCAAAAAAAAAAAAATCACCCAAAAAATATACCTACTTCAACCAAAAAATAGATATATAAAAAACAAGAAAATTCCAAATGTCTTGATAGATTGCACAATTTGCAGAAACCTGTCGTAAAGGGTCGAAAATATGTTTAATGATAGAACAATTTTATTTAGAATCAGGGTTTAACTTAAGAAAATAAAATTAGGTTTATGTCATGTTGTCTTTTTCTTTTGGTACCATAGGGGAGTTGAATTGAAATTGATTTTGCCTTTTATTCTTTAGTTCTAGGTAGGTGGGGTTAAAACTGCAAAAATTAGTGTGGGGACATTGTAAAAATTGTTCAATGGAAGAGAAAATGACGGGTGGATCAGCCCCAGTACGTATAAGCTTGGGTGTCACAACATGGACTGTGGAAACCTTTGAAAACGTGTCTAACTTAAGAAACATATATTTTCTGACGTTAGAAAGAGGACAGCAACGGGGTTAGGTTTCAACGTTGGATAGTAAGGGGTTAGGTTTCCAATGTTAGATATTACGGGGTTAGGTTTCTGAAACACAATAAAGGTGATTTTCAATGTTTTGGTATTACGGGGTTAGGTTTCGGAAAAGTGAAAAACCGTACCTACCTCCCTCTCATGTCCGGATTTAAATCACACATCTCACTATATTTTCACATGCATTGAGTCAGCTGAACTAATATGGGCCTATTTTATTTATTGGGCCTTAGCCCGATAGCATCTCTCTCTATCCGTCCTTAAAATTAAACTGGTCAATTGAAACCCTACTAGTTAATCAAATAGTACATAGTTATCTACGTATATAGTTTACAGCCCAAATTCAGCTAAAATTCAATTTGTGTTTCGCTATCTTCGTTTTGTTTTTTTTGTTTTTTTTCACTCATCGTTTTGTTTGTTTTCTGTCTAGCTCAGTCTTACAAATAATAGTTTTTTGCTCAAATAAATAATCTATTTCTTACAGTAACTAATAGATAAAGTGAATAATCTAGTTTACAGCCCAATTGTGATTTCAATTTTTATAGAAGAAATATACTAGAAATTCGGTTTGATTCTATGTCACTTTGATTTATTTAAGTTTCGGTTCGATTTTGGTTAGCAAGTAACTTCAAATATGATTACATTAAATTGGTTTAAATTGTTTGAGTTTTTAGATAAGAAAGCAATCAGTTTACAAATAAGCTTTGGTTTGCTATTAATTTGATTAGTTCGGTTTGGTTTGGTATTAATTTGATTTGTTCGGTTTGGTGTGGTCTTCTTTTCTTAGATCAATGGAAGTTTTGCTTTTCTAAAAAAAAAAAGAAAAAAAGAAAGAAAACAAACAGAACCGAGCTTTAGCTTCCACCGAGAAATATTCCCTATCTCCGACGGCAAACCAGGCCTGCGACCTTGAGACAGAGACGGAGACAAAGCGAGAGAGAAAATGGGTTTCTTCTCTTTTCTTGGAAGAGTTCTCTTCGCCTCTCTATTCATCCTCTCCGCTTGGCAAATGTGAGTTTTTTTTTTTTTGGTTTCATTTGTCCTTCATCTCCTCTCGATCTCTTCTCTCGTTTCTCCGGTTTCGCGAATTGAGGTTCCTTAATGTGTATGTTCAATCTTCTTCGAGGGAAATTTATTGTGCTAGACCTGATTTGATTGAGAATTTCGCCAAAGTGTTTGATTTGGTCTAAGCTCATCTAGGGTAGATCTAGGGCTTGTCTAATACTGCCTAGCTGATGAATCTAGCCTAACCTTGGGTACTTTTTCCCTTTTTTCCTTTGATTTACGACCCAGATCTCTTTCTTAATGACGAAAGTGATTCAAGTTTTGATTTCCCTAACCGATGCTGCAAAATTTAACTCACAGGTCCAGCAGAATATGAATACGTTGTTTTGATATCTTATTTATCAATGTAAAGTTTGATACTTTGATATTGTCTGTCAATGTCTGATTTGCTTATTGTTGATATGTCTGCTTATGTATCCCTCGCCGCTTTTGAGGACACAGGGAAGTTTTTTCGTAAATTCTAAGGGAAATAGTTAAATTCATCCTTAGCGCTTTTATTAAGCATTTTTCATAGAGTCAGCTCCCAAGAGACTGTGGTATCTCCGTTTCTGAGCCTTTTGATATCCCTTTTTCATATTATAGCTCTCTTTAGATGAAAAGGGTCTAGTTTTTCACCATTCGGATCTGATATATGGTGAAGTGAGATACGGTGATGATTTGGTGTGTCGGTGCTGTTATTCCAATTCCATCGCCAAAAAAAACACATTTGAGCTCCAAATTTGTGACACATCTGTTTGCTTGAAAGCTCACCAGTCATATCATATGTTTAGAAGCTTTCTCAAACATCCTCTTGTCGATCATCTTACGAAATCCAAACTATTCGTCGTGGTACTTCTTATTAGGTTCAATGACTTTGGAGCTGACGGTGGTCCAGCGGCTAAAGAGTTGGCTCCGAAGCTTGATCTGACCAAAGCACATCTCTCTTCCATATTCGGAGTAGCATTGCCCGACATAGAGGTATGCCTGGTTTGTTGGTTGCTTAAACCTATGGTTCCTTGTCTTCATGCCTCTTATGCTGTCTATGTATATATATGTTTTGTCTGACTTGGAGAACGAATTTTAAAAGGTGAAACAAGTCGTATGGGCAATTGTTGCTCTGAAAGGACTCGGAGGCTTACTCTTTGTTATTGGCAACATCTTTGGCGCCTATCTTCTGGTAAGGACTTCTTCATTTTTGTTGAATATTCAAAGCTTAGTTGTTGTATTGACTTGGGAATTTTCAATTCTTTGTTTCTTAGGCTTTCTACTTGGTGGTCGTTAGTCCCATCTTATATGATTTCTACAACTATGGACCCGAGGACCGCCAATTCTCTCTTCTGTTGACTGAATTCTTGCAGGTTTTTCTAAACACCTCTCTTCATTTACGCGTTCTAGCTTGCTTTTGCCATGATATGGGTTCTAGTTCTTCGAGCTGAACTTACTCTGAATAAAGAATGTTCCTTTGTGGCCGCTTCTGAAAACCCAAATCTGCCTCGGTGAGTCTCATTCTTTTGCATTAATGTTTTATTGGCAGAGCGTTGCGCTTCTCGGGGCATTGCTATTTTTTATCGGAATGAAGAATTCGACAACCACTTCCAAGAGGAATCTGAAGAAGAGGACACCCAAGCCTAAAGCTGCTTAGCTTCTATTCTCTCTTCCACAGACAAGTGTCAGGCTGATGTCTTCAAGCACCAACTTCAATTTTCTTCCTTACAACTTCTGGTTCTTTTTCTATTCTAGGATTCTAGATTTAGCCACATTTTGTATTTTCTCTGTTAGTTCAAATTTAACTTTGGGATCTAAGAGTTTTCTTTTGTTGAATCATACAATTCTTTTCAGTGATCTTAATATTGGGTCGAGGAGACATTTTTTTGTGTCATCGGTTAGAACTTAGAAACCGTGGCTTTTATTCGATAAATTTCTTTTCTTTTCATGTGAAACTTAATTATTTCCATCCGTTTGAAGGTAGAAGATGTTTTATCGTTGTAGTTTATGTTGTCCAATAAGCTTTTTTTTTTCATTCAGACTAGTAGTCTGTTTGCAATTTATGTTGTCCAATACGCTTTTTTTTTCATATCAGGCTAGTAGTCTGTTTGCAATTTTTCGTTTTTTTTTTTTGACAAAAAAAATATGAATCACTGAAATCTGTACGAAACATTAGTGAATGGTGAACAAAAATCGATTTTTCTGCAAGGGTTAGCGGTTCCCTTCCGTCAGTTACAACTTACAACAACCGTTTAGACTTATAAAAAGTGATATTCATACTCCTATTTTATATTATAGTTGAAATCCAATGGACAAGCTTAAATTACGAAAATAAATTATGATATCACATCAATGAGTTTGTCAATATCTGAATAGGGTTTTGATAAAGGTTATTTCTAAATAATCTGAACCGCTAATTATTTTTGTGATAATTATAATAAGAGATTGATTAATTATTCAAAGACATAATACCTTTAGTTTTAAACTAGAATATGATTCTTTCCATTATATGTGGCACACAAAATCTCATAAATTTAAATAGGTAATAAAGGGATTAATTGGTTAGTCTAAAGTTGGTATACGAAAGAAAAGTTATATTATCTCCTTGGTCTAAAGTTCAAATGGTCTTTATCACTCTTTTGCTTTTGAAAACCATACAGAAATTTATGAGAAGTTAACAAAAGTTACGAACAATGCCACAACTACTTGGAAAACAATACGTTGTGTTTGCAAGAAACCGCGCGTTACCAATGGAATTGTGTATATTTAAAATATATGAAAGATATATGATTAGATTTTTGAAAGATCTTCTAATTAGTCAAATTTTATTTAAAATATATAATTTCATATGTATCTGGGAGACAGTACTCTAGAAATATTTTTTTGGGGTTCTCTATAAATATCATATTTGTTAACAGGATAAAAAGTACCACAGCCTGTTTAATAACAACTTATAGCTACAAAATTGTGATACTTAATTTTATGATTTTGGTGATAAGATTATCTTTATGAATTTCTGGTTAGCCAAACTAATGAGTTTTATTACAAAAAGGAAGAAAAAAATCTAATCAGATTGTTTGTTCTTGACACTTTTTAGAAATACTAAAGAATTTTGTTTTCAGAAACCAAAAATAAAACAGTGGAATTATTAGTCCCCATAAAAGAGAATATAGTCAAACTCATAAATTTATTAGTTTAATCAACTAGTCAAAAGGGAAAATACTTGAAATACTTGAAAAGAAAAGGAAAATAATCGTAAAAGATTCGACCGTTTTAACCAAAATACAACCCAAGCATATTTGAACACATCCCTCTATATATAATCACACACGCACATACTCACTCACACTCGTATACATAAAAACAAAGACAACAAGAAACACCGGTCATGTCGTCCACGGCGAGAAATATATCTGGCGGTGGAAACCGAAAGTCGAGTAGGCTGCAGCGGCGGGCTCCACCGCCTCTAAAGATAAACCAATCCCAAGCGAATTGGAATGTGGCTATTCCTCTTTTATCACCTACGGAGTCGCCGCCGCAGATGCCACCGGCTGTGATGAAGAGAGAAGAGAAACGTCGGGGAAAAGAGACGGAGAAGCTGCCAGTTTTCAAGAAGTGGCAGCACCCGGCGGCTCCGTTTTACTACCAGCCAGCGCCGTCATCGAATCAGCCGTTTGCATGGCCCAACTAACGCTCTCTTAATTATATTAGGGCTAACGTATATACCTATGCTTTATATGCCGACCGTATGGATACAAACATATCAAAATATCATTGGTTATGTAGCATAATTATCTTGATGCATGAAATATATTGGGTTTGATGTTATTTTGTTTCGGTTAACCATGAATTGTAAACTAAGTAATAATATACAGTACAGATTTCGTGATAATCGTATAATTTAGGCTTTATATATTCTATCAATCTTTGCAAACTGTAAGAAAAATCTTAGATTGATGAATAGATGTTACATGTAAATCAAAAGTGTATTAATTAATTATTCTGTGTGCATTTTTTTTTTCACAAGAAAAGACAAAACAGTTTTGATGAGTTCGAAATATTTTTTTAGTATTGACAAAATGACAAGAAAACTTTTATGTGTGTTTTTAAAAATTATATTTGATTGCTATTTCATCTAAAATTATTTTTTGAATTACTGCAACATCTTGTGAGTTGTGATAACATAAAAAAAAAACAAAAACAAAAGCGTTAACTGTCAACGATGCAAATTGTAACCGTAACTTCCTCTTGATTCTTGAATAATACTCCTATCACTTTTTGTTTATTAAGAAAAAAAAATCAGTAACACTATTCACTTACTTACATTTTTTTTTCTAATGTGTGCAAAACTTACAGCTAGCTGACTGACGACCCTCATAGATAAAGCTTATATGTGGTCTTACAGAATTTCCTTTCTTAAAAGATTTGTGGACTTGAAAAGTAAAAATTATTTTGTACATTTTCCTTAAGTGTCAAAAGATGCATGCAGATATATTAAAGGCTTTAATAAAAATCCGTTTCAAACACTTCAAGTAATTGTTTTTCGGTATTGTTATGTAGTTTATCATATATACAGTAGTTTGTACTAACTAGGTGAATACCCACACATAACGTGCGGGTTTTTCTTTTTAACTATTTTCAAATCTTATATAGAAAAAATATAATTTTTTTTTGTTATGTGTGTTAGTATGTTATTATAAACAATTTTAAAACTTTTATATATAAAAGAAACAATCTTAAAAATTAATTTAAAATACAATATCATAAATATAAAACAAATATAATCATTATTTGCGATGTGTATTAGTATGTTACTATAAATAATTTTAAAAATTTTATCCAAAAGAATTAAAAATTAATTTAAAATATAATATCTTAAAAAAAAAGTTAAGAATTATATAAAATTACAATAAATATCAATTATTATCAATCAATTAATAAAAAACTGTTCATATTCTTTGAGTGTTTTAAAACTTGATATTAAAATTTTTTTTTAATAAATGATAACTTTAAATTATAAAAGTAACACATGTTATCTCCATATCAATTTAAAATGATGATGTGTCACTCATATGGAGAGAATTGATCATCTTTTATATATAAGATTTTATTACAATGTGTATGTACGGATAAAAACCTTTTCCTTAATTAATTTGAGGACAAAACTCAAATATTGGTCTGGTTGATCATATCGTATTTGATCTTACAATATTTGTATTTTCTAGGCAATTTTTTTTATTGCGTAGAAAATTTAATACTATGATATTTTAGTGATTTTGGATCCAGTGAGATGCTCTTGCACTCAAGACTCCTCTTCTGATTAGAGTTGGAGTTAGGCCCACACAATAAAACCATTCGGTATGTTATGAATAGAAAAACAGAGATGGAGTGTTTAACTAAATCATGTCTAAGAAAAGGAAAAAAATAAACGAATTCGTGTCTAAGTCGCTAGTAGGTCAAGACATTGGGCAACCATAACGTGTTAGAAACGAAAATATAAAAATTAGCATGTATTTTTTAATTATTATGTATGAAGCATATCAAATTAGTCGAAAATCTAACTTATGTTATCATGTCAGCCACAGATTGTGCCATTTACTTAATTTAATGAGTAGTAGAAGACTTGAAGTCTAGGCTTCATACCTTATTTATTTATTTGTCTACTATCCTTCACAGTTTAGAGTTAACTGTCGCATGCATTTTTGTTTCAAGCTAAACTTTTCTTTTGTCATGTAAATCATTGACAAGTCAAAATTTTTATGATTCATATAATAATATTTTTTAAAAAAAATTAGATTCAGTGTTATCAAATATCTATAAAATAGAACATATGACAAATGGAAGCAGAAAAAACTCTAAATTTTTGTTTTTGGTAATAAAAAATACTGTAAACTCAATGTTTTTAGAATACAAATAAAAGGCAATGTTTAGTTAGCATATTTATCTGTACCATAAAATCTCTCAGAAATTAAACACATTTCAGTTTGCATTAATAAAAATTGTAATTTGTCATCTTTTATCTTTTACAAGCAAGTTCAAATGATTTTTAAAAAATCTCATAGATTTCTACAATTGAGAAAATCAATTAGTTTTTTTTTGTTTGGGTTTATTTTTAAATTTTGTTAGAGTCATTAATCCCATTAATTTAAAAAGATAAATCAAATAAAAGAATCCGATAAATGATTTTGGTAAGAGTCCACGTAGGTCAAGATGTCGTGCTCGTGTTGTGTTCCAAACGAAAAGCGTCTATGTTCTCTTCATGTACCGTTTATGGGCCCCACTGATTTCCTTCTTCAGTCTCCCCCCCCCAATTCCTCTCCCTTTCTCTCTCACCAAATTACTCGCAGAGCCTCTCACACAATTTACTCTCTTTCTCTCTCTCTCTACATTCTGATGAGTTTCGTGAGCTAGAGGGAGAGAGAATCAAAGAAACTCTCAAAGATATAAGAATCCGATAGCTCTTTCTTCGACGATTTGCATTCTCCGGAAAAAGGAGATTTTGACTGATCGTTGTATTATAATAATACGACTTGCAGGTAAATGATTTCTGAAATGCGAGATGGAATATTCATAATTGTCGCCATTTCTCGTCTGGTTTTTGGGTTTTTTCTTTCTCGATTACAATTGTTTGGGACTTCTGAGAATTATCCGGGGAAGGAAGCGCTGGATTCTGATTTTATTTGTTGTTCGTAATTTCATATATTTGGGAAAAAATTTTGGTTGGTGAAAGCAAAAAAAAAATAAAATTGGTCGGTGTTATGAGAAAGATTAGAATATAGCTTTACTCTCTTCAAAGAAATTTTAAATTTTTCTGGGTACGAATATTGAAATTGGAAAAATTGACTAGTTCGAATTCTGGGTACGAACGAATGATTCACCACCTCTTTGTATTTTCATATCAGGAAGATCAATCGATGCTAAAGACATTGTTAGTTCAGGGGCTTTTGTTCTTCTTCTTAATAATCGGCGCCGTCGCCGGCGACGACAACGACGGTGGCTTGTCAATATGCAACTGCGACGACGACGACAGTTTCTTCAGGTTCGAGGTGATACTCGAATCGCAGAAAGTGGGCGACTTTCTAATCGCAATCGCTTATTTCTCGATCCCAATCGAGCTGGTCTACTTCGTAAGCCGAACCAATGTGCCTTCACCTTACAATTGGGTCGTCTGCGAGTTCATAGCCTTCATTGTTCTCTGTGGCATGACCCATTTGCTCGCTGGTTTCACCTACGGGCCCCATTGGGCTTGGATCATGACAGCTGTCACTGTCTTCAAGATGCTGACTGGGATCGTCTCCTTCCTCACGGCCATCTCGCTCGTCACTCTCTTGCCCTTGCTTCTCAAGGCCAAGGTTCGAGAGTTTATGTTGAGTAAGAAGGCGAGAGATCTTGATCGTGAGGTTGGGATCATAATGAAGCAGACTGAGACGAGTTTGCACGTTCGTATGCTCACAAGAAAGATAAGGACGTCTCTAGATCGACACACGATTCTCTACACCACGCTTGTGGAGTTATCAAAGACTCTGGGGCTCAAGAACTGTGCGGTTTGGATCCCGAACGAGATCAAGACGGAGATGAACCTTACGCACGAGTTGAGACCGAGGAACGATGACGAGGATCAGAATGTGAGTGGTGGTGGTGGGTTTTCGATACCGATTACAGAGTCTGATGTTGTGAGGATAAAGAGAAGCGAAGAGGTGAATATGTTGAACACTAACTCTCCGCTTGCCTCGGTGACTAGCCGAGGGAATCCAGGTCCTACGGTTGGGATTAGAGTCCCGATGCTTCGTGTTTGTAACTTCAAAGGCGGGACACCGGAGGCGATTCACATGTGTTACGCGATCTTGGTTTGTGTGCTTCCTCTGGGGCAGTCTCGGAGCTGGACTTACCAAGAGCTTGAGATTGTCAAAGTTGTGGCTGATCAAGTGGCTGTTGCCATCTCTCACGCCGTGATTCTCGAAGAGTCTCAGCTCATGAGGGAGAAACTCGCGGAACAGAACCGAGCACTTCAGGTGGCGAGGGAGAACGCGTTGAGAGCTAACCAAGCCAAGGCTGCTTTCGAGCAGATGATGAGTGATGCGATGAGGCGTCCTGTGCGGTCCATTCTCGGGCTGCTTCCTCTGATAATGCAGGATGGGAAGATACCGGAGACACAGAAGGTTATCGTTGATGCGATGGGGAGAACAAGCGAGCTGCTGTTACAGCTTGTAAACAACGCCGGAGATATAAACAGCGGGACGATCCGAGCAGGAGAGACGCATGGTTTCAGTTTGCGTTCGGTTGTGAAAGAAACAGCTTGCTTGGCCAGGTGTTTATGTGTTGGGAACGGGTTTGGTTTCTCGACGGAAGTTGATAGAGCATTGCCAGATTTCGTCGTAGGAGATGCTAGAAAGGTGTTTCAAGTGATGTTGCATATGCTCGGGGGTTTGATTAACCGGAAGAACAAAGGGAATGTGACTTTCCGGGTTTTAACGGAAGGAGGAAACTCAGGTGTAGTAGAGAGGAAAGATAGCCAAGAAGCGGTTTGGCAACAATGCTATTCCAAAGAATACATCGAAGTTAGATTCGGATTCGAGGTAGCTACAAAAGGCCAAGAGAGTAGTAGTAGTAGTACTAGTAGTAGCACTAAACCGGAGGAGGAGGAGGAGGAGATTCCGAGTTTCGACATCTGCCAAGATATCGTAAAGGTTGGACATTTTTGTTTTTTCATTCGCAGGTAGATAAAATATGTTACTAGATTGACTCTTGTTGTTTGTTTTGTGAACAGTTGATGGAAGGGAATATATGGGTTGTGGAGGACGGTCGAGGTTTGGTGAAAAGCCTCTCGGTTGTTTTCCGGTTCCAACTCCGGCGATCTATACTGTCACGAGGCGGTGGATATTCTGGAGAAACTTTTAAAACATCAACTCCTCCGTCTACTAGTTACAATCATTGGCGTCAGGAAGGGGTTGAGTGTAGAGCAGAGCAGAGATGATAAGTAAAGAGTCTAAATATTTTGTAAAAATGGTGGTAGGGGTTAATAATTTAAGATATCAGTGAGTGAGTGATAACTAAACGGCGCCGTTTCGTAAAATTATTTAGGTTTAAGTAACCTATCTTGTAGGCAAAAGGTATGGTTCTCGGACTTGTTACCTGTTAGATAACAGAATCCGGAGGATGTCTTTTTTTTTTTTTTTTTTTTTTCTCTCTCTCTCTCTCTTTTCTCTTTGTTATTCTCTGTCTCTCTCATTGGTGATTGGTGTTGTTAAATGTTTAAAGCAAGAAAACTAATCAGACTTAAAATGGTTTTCTTTAATGTTTAGGAGTTCTCTAACGCCACAAGATGACGCTTAGGAGTTCATTAGGAAATTCTTTTCTTTAATGTTTCTGATTTCTATTCTTTTTTTAAAAAAATAAAAAATAGAAGCATTCTTTGTAAAGAATTTTTTTTTGATGAATAAAATTTTACATTCTTCAAAAAGAAAAAATCTAATCAGACTTAAATATGGGATTAAGATTTACAAGCCTTAAATCCTCTGTCAGATATTGATCACATCCCATGGGATCGGATTGGATCACGTAAGTTCGCTGGACTTTTCAAAAACTTATAGAGGAGTTTACAGTCTAGATTTATTGATTTTCAGATCTATATATAAACCAATTTTAGATTAATTTGTTTATAATAAGTATTGATTATATAAGATTTGTTTCTTTATAAAATGAATCTTTCTTTCACTCAGATATTAATAAACTTCTCTACTTTTGAAAACATATATACAACAATCTCATCGAATTTAAACCTTTTCTAATAATAAAATTGTTTAAAATTTAGACCCTGTAAACTGTTTATATCATAATTATTTGTTCTGACATATATATATATCTTCTGATAGAAATGTAATAAAAGAGATTTCAGCAGGAAACAAAATTAATAATGAAGTGATGATGAATTTATTTAAGGATTGTGAGGAATTTTTAAATGTAAATCAATCCAATTACATGTAGATTATAAGGTGATGTTGTTTTCGACTATTACGAGTGAGGAAAAAGAAAAACATGAATCAAAATATCAAGAGTTTCTAATTAAGTTAATAATTAATTAAGGGTTCTCTCCGAGCTGTTTCGTGCGACCTCTCTATTTATCTCTCTCTTTCTTCCGTCTTTTTTTTTTTTCTCTCTCTACAGAATCTCTTCTCTTCGAGCTGCCATTAACCCATTCAACGAATAAGCTTCTCTTTGCTCTTTCTTCTACCATCTCAGGTTCGCTTCGATCTACACGATTACCGTTAAGCCCTTCAATATCCGCTCCCTTGTTATTCGGATTTCTCGAGGCTTAGGTTACGATGACAGTCTTTCTAATCCGAGAGCGGTTTTTGATTTTCCGATCATTGATTGCATCTGGGTTTTGTTAAGTTTCCGATGTCTCATGAAATTGGTGGGGTTTTCGATGGAGATTGTAGCTGAGAGAAATGAAATATTGGTCTTCCTCTAATTTTTCGGCTGATTTTATTTTACCATATAAGTTTTTGAGATTGAAATTTGGGTTTATTACCCATCGATTATCTGATGTGGGTTTAAGCCATGAATTCGTTTGCCCTTGGCTGGGTGATTGAATTGATACAATTTGAGAGAGCCACCAGATCGTTGAATATGATCCAATTATAGGTTTGGGCAAGAGTTAGGAGGCAGACGATCGTTGTAGCTGGAGACTATGTATCTGCTTGTTCCTTTGTCCGTTTTAGTGACGAAATCGATTGGCTTTTCAGCAAGTCTTATTTCTTTAGGCTGGGAACTTATCAAATTATGTCTTGGAATATTGTTTTCAAAGTACATAGACTTGTGGGAATTGTAGAATTTATGATCTAATTTTTTGTGATTTATATATTTATTTTATTTTTATAGTTGAAGGAGAGAGAGCTTTGACGAAATAAATCATACTGGGGAATGGCAGAGACTGTTAATGAAGACTCTGGAGTGGGACGATCAGTAGAGGAGAGTTCAAATGGACAACACAGTCAAGTGGAGAATGGTACCCCATCGACCTCGCCCTCTTACTGGGACATCGATGAGGATGATGATTATGGTAGGTGTTTTTATAGCAAGATTTTTCATGATTATCGTTTAGTTTTCCACCGTGTAAAACTTGGATGTGGCTATTTTCAAAATGAAATTCTTCATACTTTGTACAACTGAGAGTGCTTGGACAGATGTGACTCAATGATTCAGTCCATGCAGTTGCCTCTCATTTGTAAATTGTTCTTCTCGATTAGTTTGGATCATATCTATAAAGCCGGCTACAGACGCCTCTTCTATGTATGAGTTTTCTGTAAATACTAACATGCTGATTATCATTCTCTTTTTTCATCTTGCTGTTGCAAGGCAGAGATTTATCCTTTCGCGTTGTTATATCTGATGTTGAATCCCTCTTGTTCTTTTTGCTCTCTTATCAATTGATATATTTTCATCTTTCATTTAGCAAATGCATGCATCTAAAAGCAATTGTTGGGGTGAAAACGTGGTAGAGACTTTTATCTGTTTGTGTTGAAGAGCTCAGTCTTGTATAGTGTACTACCATGTAATTCTAGATAAGGGGGATTTGATAGTATTCTCCTTCCTCGTTTGGTTTTCTGCCTTATTATACTTTAATGTGTTTTCAGCTGTTTAATGTGTTTTTTCTTCCAGGCCTTAAACCCTCTGAATTATTTGGAAAACATACATGGAAGATAGATAAATTTTCAGAAATCAACAAAAGGGAGCTCCGTAGCAGTGTTTTTGAAGCTGGCGGCTACAAATGGTACATAGCATATCTTAATCTTTCTCATCCTTAAAAATTCTGCCTCACAATAAAAACTTGGGATCTGGATTTTAAGGCTCTGATTTGTTACCTTTATCAGGTATATTTTAATTTATCCACAAGGATGTGATGTTTGCAATCATCTCTCTTTGTTTCTCTGTGTTGCAAACCATGAAAAACTTCTTCCAGGTTAGTACTTTTGCCCACTGGCTTGCAAGGCCCCCTTTTGTTCTGGATACCTGGTCATGTAGGTTCTGTTGTTATCTTTGATACAGGCTGGAGTCATTTCGCGCAGTTTACTATAGCTGTGGTGAATAAAAAAGACTCAAAGAAATCCAAGTATTCAGGTGACTTTTTGAGTCTGAATTTGCTTGCCTCCTTAAAAATATGCAGACAACTGAACTCACCTATTGCAGATACGCTTCACCGGTTTTGGAAGAAAGAGCATGATTGGGGATGGAAAAAGTTTATGGAGTTATCTAAGTTACAGGAGGGGTTCATAGATGATTCTGACTCTCTTACAATTCAGGCTAAAGTTCAGGTGATCAGGTAATGAAATATTGACTCTGAGTAAGGCCATTTTTCCATGCTACCATTAATTACTTAATAAGATTACCTTTTCTCGGATGTCAGTGAGATATCCATTGTGGATAATATCCGTATAATTGGTCCTTGCAGGGAGAGGGTGGATCGACCTTTTCGCTGCCTTGATTGTGATTATAGGAGAGAGCTTGTTAGGGTGTATTTGGGACATGTAGACCAAAATTGCCGACGTTTTCTGGAAGAGAGAAGAAGCAAGCTTGTGAGGTTGATAGAGGACAAGGCAAGATGGACGAGGTATTTCACATTGCGACTGTCCCTTAACTCCCCAGATTCCAGAACTGGAATCATAATGCATTGCGATTTGTGATGATTAGTTAGGAGGAATTAGCTGTGGTTACCTTCTTCTGAGGAAACCATGCTATGTTAGAATTATCTTGTTTTCCACCATGCGTTTTGAGTCCAATATAAATTTGTTTCAAATTCAAAATTTTTGTTTGGTGGCTGTGGCTCTCCACTATCTCTGATTTACAAGTCTTGATAGCAAAGGAACTTGAGATGCTGGGACGGATAATCCCTAAAAGAGGATGTGGGAAATTTTTCTTAGTTCACACACTTGTTGAAGGCCAGGATTTACACCATTCTAGTATAGTACTGCTGCCTTACTTTTATATATCTTGTGATATCTTAAGTTGAGCAAATTTCCCTAAAAAGGAATGAATTATCATTCTTGGTTGCAGCTTCGGTGCTTTCTGGCTAGGGATGGACCAAAACTCTAGGCGTCGGATGTCTAGAGAGAAAATGGATGTAATCCTCAAAGGAGTAGTAAAAGAGTTTTTCATAGAGAAGGAAGTTACATCCACTTTGGTGATGGATTCCTTGTACAGTGGGTTGAAGGCTCTTGAAGGCCAAACTAAGAACAAGAAAGCTAGGCCAAGATCATTAGATGCCAAGGAATTGCCAGCTCCGGTTGTTAGTGTGGACAAAGATATGTTTGTATTAGTTGAGGATGTGCTGTTACTCCTAGAAAGAGCTGCTCTAGAACCATTGCCGCCAAAAGAGGAGAAAGGTCCTCAAAACCGTACAAAGGTCGGCTTCATGGGTTGTAAATATATAATTTTGGCTTAAATTCTAGTAGCTGTGATCATTTCTGCATTCTTTTTTTTTTATTTTCATCTTTGTCGTGTGTCTTATCCATTTTTCTCTTTCGGAGGACTTGTTGCATTGTCCACTAGGAAAGGTTACTTGTATTGAGAAAAAAAAATTCGTTCTTTGATGGAAATCTAGGATGGCAATGAAGGAGAGGAGGTCAACCAGGAAGCCATTGAGCGTGATGAGAGGCGTTTAACTGAGTTGGGTAGACGAACTGTAGAGATATATGTTCTTGCCCATATCTTCAGGTAACAATGCAGAATATGTTTCTGTACGGTATTCCCATTGTGTTCTTCCTTGCTGTGCTTATGTATCGTACTTCAATATCTCTGAGAACTGCAGCAGCAAAATCGAGGTTGCGTATCAAGAAGCTATAGCGCTGAAAAGGCAGGAAGAACTAATTCGGGAGGAAGAGGAAGCGTGGTTGGCAGAAACCGAACAGAGGGCCAAAAGAGGAGCAGCTGAGAGAGCGAAGAAATCTAAGAAGAAACAGGTGTGATACTTTCTGCTGTTCCAAAACCGAATTTTGCTCCTTCTGTTTGTTGGATGTTGATGAGAGTTTGTTGGTTTTTGAACATTTTATAGGCAAAACAGAAACGGAACAAAAATAAAGGGAAGGATAAAAGGAAGGAAGAAAAGGTGAGTTTTGCAACACATGAAAAGGATTGCGAGGAAAACCAACATGATGAGGAAGAAAAGGATTTTGTCACAGAGAAAGCACAGTCCTCAGCTGAAAAGACTGATACTCTTGGAGATGTGTCCGACATTTCTGATTCTGTGGATGGTCTCGCCGACATTCTTCAGCCTGATTTAGAAGATGGGGACAGTAGCTCTGTTCATTGGGATACCGACGCCTTGGAAATTCATCCTCCGGCATCAGGAGGGAGCAGCAGAGGAAGCGGCATTTCCATATCTAGACCCAATGGAATTGCAGAAAGAAAGAATCAGTCCACTATGGATGATAGTTCCTCGACCTGTTCTAACGATTCTATCCAGTCGGGGGTTACCAATGGGTCTTACAAAGGAAATGCCTTGAATTGTCGAAACCAGAAGTCGCTAAACAAGTAAGTTTGTTTTCACCTCACCTTGCTTCTTTTTTTTTCTGTTCTGATTCCTGATGATAAGACACTTTGTGATTTGCAGAGGAAAGAACCAACAGGTAAAAGTGAGTGAAGCAGATGATCAGCCTTCAACACTCGGAACAGACCCAAAGAGTCAGAATTCTTCTTCCGAATCTGATTGGGTTGTTGTCTCCCACATCCAGGAGCCAGAGAGCTCTTGGAATCGTGGTCCCGTCCGGAAGGTTGGTCACACTCATCCTTTTAACGTTCGAAATTATAAGATCAGAAGGTAGATGCTGAGTACAAGTTCCTTTTGCAGGATCGCAACGCCGCTCAAATCACTGCGAACTCAGTTGACATGGATCGACCTAAAGTGAAAAGCGCTGCTGTACTTTCTTTTCCCAGAACTGCTGCCAAGAATTCTTCACCCTTGACTCAGGCAAAACCGGAGAAAAAGAGCGTTTCAAACGCAGACGCTGTTCCAAACAGGAAAGTAGTGTCAGCAACTGGACCAACTTCATCAAGTCAAGTAGCGCCGCCATCTTCAGATATTCAGTCGCAAACTGTTGGTCTCAGAGCTGATATGCAAAAGATCTCTGCTCCAAAACAACCTGCACCAACAACAACTATATCAAGGCCTTCTAGTGCTCCAATAATTCCTGCGATGCAACCCGCCCCGACCATCATCTCCTCGTCGGTTCAACCAACAACATCCCTTCCTCGCTCGGTTAGCTCAGCTGGTCGTCTAGGTCCGGACTCTTCACAACGCAACCAACAAACTTACATTCCTCAATCCTATAAACACGCCATAGTCGGTAACTCTGTTGGTTCATCATCTAGTCTCAACCACCACCCAAGCTCTCATGGAGTTGTGCCAACCACTTTGCCATCAGCATCTTACTCGCAAACACCACCGACATCATCTTATCAGTCAAGCTTTCAATTCAGTCAAGATGGGCTATTGTGGACAGGACGGAGTTCAAACCCTGTGAACATGGGCATGAACAACCCTTATACACCCGCCGTGACTAGCAACAGATCTCTAAACCACATGGACATTGAGATGGCGCGACAGCAAGCTCAAAGCTTAATGACCGACGAGTTTCCTCACCTCGATATTATCAACGACCTGCTCGAAGACGAAAACTGCAGCAACATGGTGTTTGATGGAAGCATATTCAATCCACAAGCCCAAGTGTTCAACAACCAGTACTCATACCATGGTGGTGGTGGTGGTGGTGCTGATGTAGGTGTCTCAGGTGAGCTGTTGTCTAATGGCAGGTCGATGAGTTTTGGAGAGGAAGGATTCCATTACATGCCGCGTGTCACGGCAGGCGGACCATATGCAGATGGTTTGATACCGACGCAATGGCAAATGGCGAACATGGACTTGTCTTTACTAGCGATGAGGAACAATAGCTTGGAAGATGCAACATCATACCACCATCACACATACTTTGGGTTGGACTCTTCGAATCCGAGTTTTTCGTCTGGGATTAATGGCTACACTGAGTTCAGGCCGTCCAATGGTCACTGAGAAACGAAGGCCGGTCTATAAATACCTCAGCAGCATGATGCATGAAGGGGGATCTTAATTTTTCTCTTTTTCTTTCAGGGATTGGGATTTGTAATATTTTATAGAAAAGAAAAGAAGAAAATACAGTTTGTGTAAAGAGAGCTGTCTTGTCTTTCCTCTACGTTTCAAATAAATTCCGTTTTTTTTTTTTAATAAGATAGTTTTCGCATTTCTTCTATTGACAACTTTTGCCCTGAACCTTTTGATATATATAAGTTTTAAAGTAATTAAAACCCTCTTTTCTATAATTAAAAGAAAAAAACGTACGTTATTTTTTTGTTGTGTCTGTTTGTAGTCTTGTGTCTAATCTTCACCTAATCTGATTATTAGTTCTTCTTATCCAGTGAATACACAATAAAAGCGAGCCCTTCGATATCTGATCAAATAAAAAACTGATAGCGTTAGGAATCCACGGCCAAACCAAAAGAAAAGCATGAACCTTGAATCGGTGAAGCAGTATCTTGAGGGAGAAGGAGCCGAGAATGATGAAGGTGGAATGGAAAAGGAATCGAAAGTGGCGAATTTGCCACACAGATTCCTCGAGCGATTCGTAACCAAAGGTATCAAAGTCGATCTCATCGAACCTGGTCGAATCGTCTGCTCCATGAAAGTCCCTCCTCATCTCCTGGTAACCAAAAATCCCTAATTTTTTCAATTCCATTTCCCCCCCCCCCCCAATTTCGACTCGAAAATCTCTAAATTATTATTTCTAAAAAATAATAATAATAATGATTGGGCGTTTTTGGTTGAGGAAAAGAACGCAGGCAATTTCTTACACGGCGGAGCAACGGCGACTCTGGTGGATTTGATTGGATCAGCTGCAATTTACACAACTGGAGCTACACAGACTGGAGTGTCCGTGGAGATCAATGTTTCATACCTTGATGCTGCTTTCCTTGACGTAATTCTTTTCGATATCTTTTTGTTGCTTTTGAGGAGATGGATTTTTGAGAAAGAAAGATACCAAATTCATATGGTTTTGGTGTGATTTTACAGGAAGAGATAGAGATTGAATCAAAGACTTTACGTGTTGGTAAAGCTGTTGCAGTTGTGAGTGTTGAGTTGAGGAAGAAGAAGACTGGTAAGATCATTGCTCAAGGACGCCATACTAAGTACCTTCCTCCCCGAAGTAAGCTTTGAAGATTCCATACAACTCAACACTTCCCCAATTTTTTTTCTTTTTTTAATAATCTTCGGCTTGTTATAACTGATCATGGGTTTGCGTGAATCAGATACTTAGTGCTAATAAAACTAAGTGAACAACATTAACTTTGTTGTATACTCTTTCCCAATATAAAAGTATGTTCCATAAGTTTACAAGCTTAGTCTTTTCTGAATATCCTTTAGCTCTTTCCTCTTTGTTTGTGATACAAAGTTGATACAATTGTTTTGAGTTGAGTCATGTCTGTAATTTGTTAGGACCAGGCATTGTTTCAAATGTGTCATGAAGTATTAAAGCTGTTTTAAAGTTGAGAAACGTGAAAGGTATGTAAACAAAAACGCATGAATCACGTTTGAAACAATCGAAACTATTACCACTGGGCTAAACATGTTTTTTTCCGTCTCATATACCGGCATAATCTTCGGTTTTGTGTTAGTTTTGCCAGAGATTTTCTTGTAATGTTCGAAGTTGAATCGATCTTTTAAATCGGGTTATTTTAGGTAAAAAATCAGAATTATTGTAGATTTTGTTTGCATATATATGTTTTATGAAGTTGAAAAAAAAAATTATGAAGTAGTAGTTAGGGAACCAAATTTGTGGTGAGTTTTGTATCAATCAATACACGATGAATATGATAAGAAATCTTTCATATTTGTAATATTAAATGTACCATGTATTTGTCAATTATCTATATGGTTTGTGTAGCACGTGTTACACGAATATTTTTCTGTGTTACACGAGTTGGTTCAAAATGAAAGTCATGAAGAAAAGAGTACTATAACAGATTCATGAAAATAAAAAATATTCGCAAGTGGGTCAGTTTTGTGGATAAGAATATTAGTTGAGATATGCTGGTTGAGAAGTTTTTATTTATTTGTTTGTTTGTGTTATTGTATCTGTAGCGGTTACATATACGACGCTAAACCGCGCGTTGACGAACAAAAATGAAGTTAGACCCAACAGAAATAATAAATTTCTTAGAATAAGTTAGTATATTTTATACCATGATGCCTATTATAACCGGTAACAATGTTTAAAACTTCTTGTTGATTTTACTATAAGATGATGCACTATATCAGTTATCACGCATTATAACAATTTCATATAATATAATATAACAATAATAATGCTTGAAAAGCCCACCATCTGCATTATTAAGAAATTCCTCAAGAAAAAAGTCAGACGCACAGGTTAGAAAAGAAAAAATAAAAGTATAAATCAATGGTGTGTGTTGAGTTAGTGCTTCCCCTCACAGTCTCAATCTTCTTCCCAAATACACATTTTTAGACTTTTCAATTGCAAGAATGATTAAACCTTCAGGTAATGCTCGTCCTCTCTCTCTCTCCGTTTACCACTAGACAAATACAAACACTTGGATTAAAAAAATACTAATATTGTTCTTTCCATTTCTCTCTCTTGTTGGTTTGTTGATTTGTTTGCTATAGAAGGAACACGAGATGTCTCTAATGGTGGATCTAAACCAGTTAATCTCACCCATCTATTCCTTGCTTCTCTTGGTGGTCTTGCCGCCGCCACCGCTGCTTTCGCCGGAGAATCATTCCTTCGCCGCCGGAAAGCTCATCAAGGTGCTTCCATGGGGAATAAAGATCAGAAAATCACCCCTTTGATTGAGAGGAAAGATTCAGGTCGACGATCTAACCTCGAGAGATTCTCCCACTATGTTGGTACGTATACTTACATCTTTGATACATTTCAAGAATAAAACTTTACTAATATTCAACCTCAAAAGTCAAAACAAAAATTGATACTTTCAAGTAAGAAGAAAGAAAAAGAATCAGTATCGACCAAAAGATTATAAATTTATAATAATATAGAGGAAAAAAAGATAGTATTTCTTGGGGCATGGGTTGGGGATACTACGTCATGGGCTCTTTCCCCTAAATTTTCATTTCCATTGTATTAATTATGTGCAAATACCGAATTTATGAGAGTTAAGGATATGTACAAATACTACCAAAGCTATCGATATTACCAAAGCTTGTAATATGCACATGATCCCATTGATCAGTATTAACATATATGTAAAAATGCAGCTAGACAGCTAGGATTTGAGGACCCAAATGAATGCCCACAACTATGCAAGTTGGCAAATGCGTATTTGATTAAAGCAAAGGGATATGATGAGAATGTATATGAGTATCTGGTGAATGAAGCTGAGGCTGATTCTCTATACGTTCATCTCCTTGAAGAGTTTGAAAGATGCATTCTCACGTATTTTGCGTTCAATTGGACTCAGTCTTCCAACCTCATCTCTCAGGTACTTGATTTTATTTTATTTTTAAATCAATATGCTTTGCGTGATTCTTCTACTTTTTAACATGATCTTTAGTGGGTTTTCCTAGTAATAACATCTTTCAAAAGTTAACTTCATCGATTTATCTTATTGTTGCAAACCAGTACGTTTGTCCTTATTTTATATCATGGAGGTAATAAGTACATGATTTCTAGGTTAGAAATATATAGCATATGGGTTGTTTAATTTATTTATTAGATGCTGACAAGTGACAGCTAATTGATAGTGTATATGTATATGTATATAGTATGGCTGTATTTTCAAACGAAACTAATTTTGTACATATAGCACAAAGTCTTATTTTAAAATATATATACTTTGCCGCTGGGTGGAGTAGGTTAGATATCATTAGCATTAGCATTTTCAAAACAATGCATATGAATAGTAAATATTATCATACAATTTCTCTTGTCTTTGATCTAGTTTTATTTTTCCATAACAATGACAGGTCTTAAGCGATGAGTCGGATCAGAAAGTACCAAAACTCAAGGATTTCGTGATGGCAGCGACAAGGTGATTGATTGTTCCATATATTTTATAATTTTATATGGTCACGAGTCACGACTATCAATTATATATATATATATATATATATACATATATGTCTTCATTCCTTCTAGAGGTAGATACAATTTAATTGCTGTGTTTAATAACTTCAACTAATTAACAATTTGCCTTGTACAGAAGACTTTTTCAGAAACAATCTATTAGTAACATTTAAAAGATATTATCATCATTACCAAATTAACAAACATTGTAGAACTAACTACGTTGACTAATTTAACAAAAATCGTACTGATTTAATTTCAACAAACATTGGAGAAGACTAGAAGTGATTAAGTGGGGTTTGTTTATAATGTAGGAAACAGAGGTTCGAGAGGGTGACAAAAGACCTGAAGGTGACAAGGGTATTTTCGACATTAGTAGAAGAGATGAAAGCCATCAACGTCGGCAGCAGCGGCGGAAGCGGTGAGCCACACTGTACGGAAGTAATGTCTCCGGTGGCTCACAACAAACGAAGTCCCGTCCTCCTCCTCATGGGCGGCGGAATGGGGGCCGGAAAGAGCACCGTCCTCAAAGATATCCTCCAAGAGTAAACTTTTAATTGATACATACATACAAAATTTGCTTGTATTTTTTTTTTAAAAATATATCTACATAGCTATAATTAAAGCTAGCTTAAATTACCGAAAATGAAATATTTTGTAGGCCGTTTTGGTCGGAGGCAGGGGACGACGCGGTGGTGATAGAAGCGGATGCGTTTAAGGAGACGGATGTTATTTATAGAGCTCTTAGCTCTAGAGGTCACCATGACGATATGCTTCAAACTGCTGAATTGGTACGTTCATTTTTTTTTAAAGCTCTTCATTAGTATTTGAGTTCACCATATGCTTCAAACTGCTGAATGTATTATCTTCTTTTTATAACATGTAACATGTTTTTCGGGTGTGGTTATATATTCATTTTCGTTAACAATAAAATTAGGTGCATCAATCATCTACGGATGCAGCGTCGTCATTACTAGTAACAGCATTAAACGAAGGACGTGATGTGATAATGGATGGAACGTTATCATGGGAGCCATTCGTCGAACAAATGATCACAATGGCAAGGAACGTCCACAAACAGAGATATCGAATGGGCGCAGGCTACAAGGTCTCCGAAGACGGCACAACGACCGAAGAATATTGGAGAATACAAGAAACTGATGATAATGGGAAACAACAAAACCTCAAGCCTTACAGAATCGAGCTGGTCGGTGTGGTTTGTGACGCTTATCTCGCGGTAGCTAGAGGCATACGGTAAATATTATTTTTATTCTATATAAAGATATATATCATCCTGAAATTCATTAGATCCCAGTTAGTAATTCTACCCCTTAACTATTGTTATATATATTATGCTAATTTTACAGGAGAGCTCTAATGGTGAAGAGAGCAGTGAGAGTAAAATCTCAGCTTAAGTCACACAAGAGTTTTGCTGTTGCATTCCCGAAGTATTGTGAGCTTGTTGATAACGCTAGGCTTTACTGCACAAATGCTGTTGGTGGTCCTCCTAGGGTAAACAAAAAAAAAAAGTCTTAAAGTCAAATATCAATTTTACCGATGTCGTTTATTTCTTGACTTGTACTGACGTGTTTGTTTTTATATTTTGGTTCACTGGGGGCAGCTTATAGCGTGGAAAGCCGGTGATAGTAAGCTTCTGGTGGATCCAGAGGATATTGAGTGTCTAAAACGGGTCAGCAATCTTAACCCGGATGCAGTATCCATTCACGAGCTTTACCCGGATCCGAGCCTTTTAAGCAAGCCTGGCTCTGTTTGGAATGATGTCGTTTTAGTGCCCTCTAGGCCCAAGGTCCAGAAGGAACTTAACGATGCCATCAAGAAAATCGAAAAGGCCCAAGCGAAAAATTGATCATATTGTGAACTAGCCCCTTTACATTTGTATTCTTTTAGTATTTGGTCATTTGTTTCCATCAAAATATTTAAATATCAGATATTTTTATCGTCTTTTTCAGTAGTCTGAATAAATTCACAATAATGTAAAATGGTTCTGCAATTTTTCAGCTATTTGTTAGTAATTTGTTTTTTGTTTTTCGAAAAACGTAGCTATACAAAGAAAAGGTAAGTATATCTATATTAGATAATAAAAATAATTACAAATATAATTGTAACATAATTTTCCTGAAGATATATATTTTTTTATTCATAAAGTATTCAAAATATGTTAATAATAATTTGAATTGTAAATCTTATGATATCACACTGAAATTCATATATATATTTTGCTTGTATTACAAAAAGTTATATATTCACGAAAACGAAAATGTGGGCTGATTTGAAAATAAAGAGAATATAGAGACCTTAAATAACAAATAAGAATTCTTACACTAGGGTTCCCAGGTGTGTCCCATATATATTTGTGTTGCCGCAATAAACCTCCTCTCTTTTTATCGCTTGCGAAGACCTAACGCAGTCAATCCGAGTTTCTCAAGCTTTTAGCCGTTTAGGGTTTTATCCTTTGCTGAGATCCAATCATGGTGAGTTCTTCGGTTCACTAAATCTTCTTCTTCTAGTTTCATTTTTGTTCTGATTCATCATAATTGATATACTAAACTATGAAATGGGGAATCTGTAGGCGGATGTCGAACCAGAGGTTGCAGCGGCTGGAGTCCCGAAGAAGAGGACGTTCAAGAAGTTTGCCTTCAGAGGAGTCGATCTCGATGCTCTCCTTGATATGTCTACTGATGATCTTGTTAAGCTCTTCCCTGCTCGTATCCGCAGAAGGTGCTTCAAACTCTAGACTAGATCAATTTTTTTGGTGATGGATACTTTCTGTATGTTCTGACTTTCTCTGTTTGAAATTTGAGTTTAGGTTCTCTAGAGGTTTGACAAGGAAGCCAATGGCTCTGATTAAGAAGCTCCGTAAAGCGGTAAGCAATTCATTTCGCACTTGCCTCGTCCTTTATCACTACTGTTGTCAAATGCTGTTGAATGTTAGATTATGTTCAGGCATTCATTTCTGTTCGCGTGGTTGAATTGTTTGGGATGATATTTAAAACTTTTAAGATCTATTTTCCGTGAAAGTCTATTCTGTTTGTGTCTTCGATTATGTAAGGCTCAGATTCAGATGAGGGAAGTATGAATTGTTTAGCTGTCTTTTATGAAAATCAGGAGATAGTGCTTGTTGTATTAGGTTCTGTCTTGTTTCTTTTTCCGATTTGTTGTAATCTTTTGACTGTTACTCTAGTTCAAATTTGATTGTATAGCGAGAGTTTTCTTTTATTTTGAGTAAGAATAGTTCTTACAGTAAACAATCTTTGACAATAATGTGACCTAGAGACTCTCTAGTTGCTGAAGCTATCATTTATATAAGATAATGTCTCTCTAGTTATGATCATCATTACACATAATCACTGGCCATATATCAGCATCATTTAACTGTTTTCGTGTATATACTTTAGAACATTAACTTCCCTTAATTGCAACGAAGTATCTGATCTCAGTTTTGCTTTTGGTTAATAACCAGAAAAGGGAGGCACCACAAGGTGAGAAGCCAGAACCAGTGAGAACCCACCTGAGGAACATGATCATTGTCCCAGAGATGATCGGAAGCATCATTGGAGTGTACAACGGCAAGACTTTCAACCAAGTCGAGATCAAGCCCGAGATGATTGGTCACTACCTGGCTGAGTTCTCCATCTCATACAAGCCTGTTAAGCACGGTAGGCCTGGTGTTGGTGCTACCCACTCCTCCAGATTCATTCCTCTCAAGTGAAGAGCTTTTACTTGGAGAATGTGTTGGATCTTTATATGGTCTTTGCTTTGATTTCTCTCAAGTATGTGGATCTTTTTTGTTGTTGTTTTATGTTGAAACCTACTTTAGATACTTTCTCGACATCTAGCTCTTGCGTTTTCATTATTATGTGCTCAAGATCTTAAATCAAATATTTTTGGAGTTTCGTTATGATTGACCGTCGAATTTAGTTTCTTTCATTTGGTTTATGGTAATTTGTGAAAGATCTGCAATTGGAATTTGGCATCTAATGACTATGATCTAAGCATTTAGAAATATCTTATTTTCTGTGAATTAGTGAAAAAAATTAAACTATGTGAGTGAACGTTTAAAGCTGCAAATCGTTAAGAAATTATAGTCGTTTTCTCGCTAGTTAAAGTGAGGAACTTTATTAATTTTATTCGGCCCATTAGATCCAGATACAATTATAAGATTATAGGCTTTAAGAAATTGGGCTTTGGCCTTCTTCAACTTAACCAGTTCTTTTTTTTACCATGTTAGACCCTCTTCCACAAAACAAAGGTTGTCTTGTTGGTCGTGAGGCATATCTTAGGGTTTCTGATATTCGGGAGATAAGAGAATCGATCCACAATGGCGAATCAAGTGATCTCCGGAATCAAAGAAACAGCTCAATCGATTACAGGTGCGGCTCGTCCGTGGGGCGATTTTCTCGATCTTTCAGCTATCAGCTTCCCTTCCTCCGTCGCCGATGCTACGACTCGCCTGACTCAGAACTTGACTCACTTCCGCGTCAACTACATTATCATCCTCTCGGTGCTCCTAGCTCTAACCCTAATTACACGCCCGATCGCCATCCTCGCTTTTGTCGCCGTCGGTCTAGCTTGGTTCTTCCTCTATTTCGCTCGCGAAGAATCTCTCACGATCTTCGGCTTCACTGTCGACGACGGCGTCGTGGCGTTACTTCTAATCGGTCTTACGATCGCCTCGCTAGTCACCACCGGAGTTTGGCTCAGAGCTCTCACCACCGTTGGATTCGGCGTTGTGATCCTGATCCTACACGCGGCGCTTAGAGGAACGGAGGATCTTTTGACGGACGATCTGGAATCACCTTATGGAGCAATGCTCTCTACTGACGGCGCTCGTGGTGATTATAGTGGAATTTGATCATTAGTTGTTGCATTCGTTACTTGTGATTGAAACCAAATTCGGGTCTTGTTGTTTGTAAATCTGATTGTTTTCTTTCTCTGTGTTCATTAGCCCTATTGTTCAAGAGTTTAAGGAAAATATTTTGGAACTTAAAAAAATAACAGGAGAGAAAATGGATCGTAAGCTACAAGAGATATGTCCATGGCCCAAATATTTAAGGCATAATAGTTAAAATATGTGTTTTTACTCAAAAATCTGTTTCAAGTAGTTATTATGAATGAATTTTGAATTTAATAATTAAGGATATGTATAAACGAAAATTTTGATGATCTATTAACTTATTATTTGTGTTAGAGTTGGTCCATACTGATATTTCAATTTTGTTATTTTCTTTTCATAAAGTGTTTTTACTGTTTTTTCTCTCTACTTCTCAAAAAAACGTACCATGCGATCATTTAAATTTGGCAAAGAATCCTCTCGAGCGTCAACTTGTCAAACTAATTACTGACCCCATCAAACATCGAACATGCTTCTGCCTGATCCAAGAAGTTGATATAAATATTAAAATACTTAAATTCAAAACATTTCAAAGTAACTCATTGTACAAATGTTTGTGTTTACACATACATTTTTAGACATAATTTCTATATATGTGCCTGCATGTACGTTGGAGAAATACATTCATGAAACTTTGATCTGTTCGTTTGGGATTCCACATCCTCTCCATGTGCTTACCTATTGATAAATCATACATTATTATTTGATTTTTCATTTTTTTTTGTATCTATTTCCATTATACTATTTTTGAAAGTTGCATTCCTAATACATTGAACATCAAACTGATTAAGCTAATCTAAATGTTTAGAGGAATATGATACCTCCATTATAATATTAACCACTATCAATATAAATTGTCGGCGATGCATATGTAATTTTTTAATTTGTATATTTTGATTTTTTCATATATAACTTTATAAAATTGATATCGACAATAGATTACTTTACCAGTGACTTTTGTTAAAAAAAAAAAAATTGAATTTTCGATCCACTGATAAGCCAAAAACTAAATCTGTTAAAATAATCTCATCCGCAAACTGCAGTAATATAATTCTTAATTTGAAAACAATAGTTATTAATGGTCATCTAATCATAACTTGTAAATTACTAAATTAGTATATGCATAAAATCGCAGATTTTATAACCTTTATTTTTGTGATCAATACAGGTTTTAAATCCATTTAATGTAGTATTGAAAAAAATAGAGAAAAGAGAGGTTGTGTGTGTGTATAATTATGATTAATAATCATATTAAATTTAGTTGGTACAAAAGTTATTCTTACTTAATTTTATGGGAAATGAAATTATAGACAAAGGTAATGAAATGAAGAGACCCATGAAGATGCACATGACATTGCTCCCTCTCTTCCCTATGGGTCCTATTTCTCTATTTTATTCCCTCTAGCCAAAGCCAATTATCACTTTATTTTATAACCCAATTATCACTTTAAGTACCAACCAATCAATATACAATCAAAGTGAATCCTTTCCGTTATTTTTTTCCCTTTCTTTGATAGGGCCCTTCCGTTTTATTATTATATTACGTGTATTGTCATTCTTAATTACGTTTCGAGACTATGATGTTCAGTTTGAAGACATATACGAACCAAACATTTAACTCCGTCAATAAATTAAAAATACTGTGTGTTTGCATTTATAAATATAGGATTATCTTTAAATTGTAATTAAAGAGAGATAATGCACGCATAAAGTTACACCGGAATGAAAAACACATTTTCCTAACCATTTATAATCATAACCATTAATACACACACAAGATGTTCAGATTATTACATATTTAATATTTTCCATTACAAATGTCTCGCATATTTAACTTGATTCATAACACATAATAGCTTATAAAGTGTACCTACATACGAAATTCAGATCAAAACATAGACATTAAAAGAAAAAAATAGATATTGAACAATGTTTTTCGTAATGAAAAAAAAAACTATTAACACCCATCAAAGTGTTAATCAAATATATAACCATCACCACTTAATCTTTTAACTTCAAGCTCTGCTCTTGCACTTCTCCATTGCTCTCGGAGCTGAAATTTTTTACAATTAGCTAGTAAGCAAATCAAATTATCCACACTGGCTATATATATGTTTGTTGAAAAGTATAGTTAGCATTTAATAAAAACAGTTAACATCAAATGCCATATTGTTTAATATGGATCAAGACTATAGGCGGGCAGGTTTTCTCCGACGGCCACGATTTTTTCGTCTACAGAATTTTTTTTTTTTCTTTTTTGAGAAAATCGTCTACAGAATATTTAGATGGAAAACTAACTTAAACTGGCTAAGCGGATGATCAAATGTACAAAGCTTTTAAGTTTTAATCAATGCGAATATAAAATTTATTGGTAGAAATATACATACCGAGACCAATGGCGTCAGAACCTTTCATGAGACGTAAACGCTTGCATGTATCGACGAACATTCTAAGAAATAATAAAATTAAACCAAGATGTTATTAAAGCGGACAAATATATAGCTGTAATTAAATCGTAATTAATAAGGATCATAAGAAGAAGAAGACGTACGGCCAAGGGACGTCGCCGACGAGCATCCAATCACCGTCTTTGTCTTCATAAGAGGGAACATAGTCCCAGCTATTCACCAAATCCATCAGTTTCCTCTCATTCATGAAGTCTATCATTCCTTCTTCTCCTCCATATTTTCCTTTATATTTTTTTTTTCCAAACAATATGATTAATTACCTTTACATTCACATTAATATTTACTGCATAAAAATTAAACTACACAAGTCCATAGCCTTTGATTAAGTTGTGTGGATCCTAGATAAGAACCTGTTATCCTAACTTTAATAAATTTGAAATTTAACTACTCCTTAAACAAGAGCAAAAAAACCTTGGAATTTACTCATGTTGCAAATATTTATCTTATGGAAAAATTACATAAAATATCCTCTTGTTCGTGAAATTAACTAGAACAAATACGAGCTTTGCGGTAGATATTTTTGTTTTTTCGCATTTTCGAAACTATGTTCAACTGGCAAATTATAACAAATGAAATATTCGTCAATTCGATCTAGTATAATAACAACTAAAACATAAAACGTATTTATTATTTATATAACAACAGCTAATTAGCAAGTATGGAAATTCAGATTGATAAACAAAGATGCATGGAATCATATATCTAGTAAGATATATAAATATAAAAAACGTACCCATGGTAAAAGAGCTGAACATGTTGGACAAAGCGTTAGAGAGTTCGTCGTAGCTTTTATACATCTTCAAGTCGACTTTCCTCAAGTACGGTGCTCCGTCCATCGACACCTTCACAAATGCCGCAGCCTCCGATTTTTGGCTCGAAACCAGAACATTCTTCCGGTATGATCTCACCGGAGGCCATCCCACAACTTGTGCCCTAGAAATTCTGTACGTGAATATATTTTATGTAAAATTATAGTTACGTATCACTGAATCAATTTTGACGCGATGTTCCAAATATGTCCTATAGCATCAGACTCTTTCTTTCTTTTTTTGCAGATTTTGAACGATTTAAGAATTAAGAATCCGTACGTAGACATATGAGTGAAATTATGAGTTTTTAAATTAAGTGAAGTGAACTTTCCCCCCCCCCCCCCTTTTGGCTCCCACATTTATCCATTTTGGTTACACTTTTCTTAACTGAAAGTAAAAATGTTTAGATTTTTCATCTCAAAACTTTGACAGATATCGCTAGAAAGAATCTGTTAAAAAACAAAAATTCGCTAGAAAGAATATCTTGGACGAAAAAGTTTTTGTCCATCGAGTCTAATTTTTCTTTTACGATGGATACGACAAAAAAAAAAAAAGGAAGAAGAGAGGCAAAACTATTCCAACAAAATGTAAAATGGTCAATTTACTTGGCAGGAGGCTTGGCTGGATCTTTGGGACTTGAACTCTTTTCCTTGGAAACAGAATTCGTCACGACGTCGTGAGTTGTACATCCTTCCTTGTTTGCAGGCTCATTGTTCAGATTCAGCTTCAAATCAACCGTCTCCGAGAACCCTCTCTTGTTTCCGGTTACCGGAGCCGCCGTATCTCCACCGGGAAGACCAAGGCACAGCTCAGTCTCTCTCAGATTCAGCTCGACAGTGCCCATCATTATTAACCTCTATCCTTCTTCTTTCTTCAATGTTCTTCTTCTTCTTTGGAAGGTGATGAGGAAGATGGAAAAATGTTATTAAAAAACGCACAAATAATACAAAGTGAGATGAGTCTCTATTATATCTATCTCTAGGAGGTAGCTGCATGTGTATGTCGTATTTAAGAGATCTTTGATTAAATGGCTTTTTGACACGTGGATGAATCGTAACCCTTGATGAAGTTATCTTGCTCGAGTTTAGACTGATCACTATATCTTTTTTGTTAAACTACTAATACTCTTATTGAATCTTTCTTGGGATTTATTTTGGAGGTTATATATGCACTGTAGTTTATATATAATATTAGTAACTGAAACTATTTTTTAATAAGTTCATAACGTTTTCATATAATTCTTTGGTCAACTTACGTTTTCATATAATTCTTATGTTATCTTTTTAACCCAAGATAGGGGGAAAATCTCATTTAATTCTTCAACATCATATCACATATATATTTTTATATAGTGCCTATTGTAAATTTGTATTGTAGTTTATAGATAGAGATTCTTTTGGGCGGCGAGGTCGTAGACAAATCATATGATATATATGAGAGTGTATCAATAGAGAGATACATTTATTATAAATATTATTTTGTTATGCTTTTTTCCAAATATATGTGTATATATACATATGTATATATATATATATGCTAAAATTAAATATATATAATTTGTTATTTGCGTAAGATTCTTCGCCGGAACCTTCCAATTATGCATATCACATCCACATGATTCAATTATTCATCCCACAATAAAAGCGCAGCCCTGATGTATATAAATATTCTTATACCATTACCAACACAAAATAAAGTATACAATAGTATATATTTTATAGTTCTTAATTAAAAATTTACATATATTACAAAACTTCTATTCCATTATTCACTCACCCAGAGCTCAGTTTCCTTAAGTTTAAGCTATTCTCATCACTAAACAAAGACATATATGTATAATTAAGATTTTTCTTAAAAATTATGTGAAGTATGACAAGATATTTTTTATGTAATAGAGAGAGTAATATAAGAAATAGAAAATACATCTTCTTCAAACAATGCACTTTGACGATAGATTGTCAATTTTTTAAATGAGAATATCACTTGAAGCTCAAACGGCTGATATTATAATGCCTAAGTGATATACTAATGTTTACTATAGGAAAATCAAAGCATATTTTATTGTTCTCTATTTGAATTCTAATATTCGAAATTTGGTGCTATATATAAATTTTTGTTAGTTCTATGACACTTGTGGCCATCTACGTAACTCATAAGGCAGAGGTTTTTTTTTTTTTTTGAATAAGGCATGATACCATATGTACTATTACTAACTATACGTCTATAGCCAACGTATATTCAATAAAATTGAAAAATAAACAAGAAAAAGAAAAAGCATATTCACCCTAAGGGAACCGAGAGGGGACATGAGTGCACAAAAAATCCAAAAGAGGAGAGGGTACAATAACATCACCATAAATTCCAAAACAAAATTTAAATTAGTGAGAAAAACAAAAACATGGAGATATATGATGAAGGGACAAGTTACATCCGATAAAAATTCAGAGGCAAAAACATCCTAAACCCTACTTTTGTTCCTTGATTTGTCTACATCCCCCTCTTTACCATTTTCTCTCCTTTGTTTCTATCCCAAAAACTCTCACGTGTTTTCAAATCAACAAACCCCAATTTTCAATCGAATTTTTGGGTCATGTTGTTGTATATATCACCTCATTTTGTCGTATTTGTTAATGTGTATCTACTTTATCTGATCTCTATATATATTCTGATTTATATGGAATTCACATGATCATAACTGTACACCAGTGAATAATATAAGTTCTCGACCGTAAATGACTTGAAAAAATCGCCCGCACACATAAATGGATTGTATGCGAAACTTTAATAAGATTGAACCAATGCAACCAAATCTACATATCAATTATCACAAGAATATATGAATATATGGTGACCACATTTTTTCAAGATGGAGACCACCTTTGATGTGTAATTTAGATTAACTTCTTATTCATTTAGTTTATATCTCTTATATCTACAGTATATATTGTGTATCAATATGTGGACTAAGTTTGAATGTTATATGCATCATGTCGAAATTAATGACTTATTTTCAAAGGTATATATGTGCTGCATATATTAACTTGCAAGTTAAGAATGTGTGAGGACCAGGTGTACTTTCATATGGACATAACAAGGCCACAACTCTCAACATTCTACCACACAAAGATCATTTTAGTTTTATTTTGTCCAATTTTTTTTAATTCTCATTTAAATTAGTTGTTGGAATATACTTCTCACATTTAAAGAGTGCAGCCAAATGACATGCATGCATGCAATTGAAACGACAAAACCAAATAATAAGTTTACATTGACTAAACTGTATATTGTGATTTTGTGTGAAAGCCACAACTCTTGAGACTCAAACAAATTACTTTACGTCAACACTTGCTCTACAGTCAACACACAATCAATTTATTTATTGTTGTTTTTAATTACACAAGCAATTATTATCTATCGATCAGTATTAGTAGTGATTTTTGTCATTATATATATACTGCAAACTTCATATATGATATATACATATTTTTCATACATATTGGTATATCTCTCGAAACTCTGAGTGAAAAATAGTACCAAAAAAAAGAAACTCGGATTGAAAAAGCGGATATCGCGAATACTGGATTAAATTATAGCTTTTGTACGTGTATAACACTAAAATTCAAACTTTAAGACTAACTATCCTAGACTAGCTAATGCACACTTATATTTAGCTCTAAACACACATATATATATATATATATATACCTGATTCTACACCACAGAAGTGGTTCATTTTTCTGTCAGCTGAATAATATATATAAAGAAAGAGATCTTAGTATATGTTGAAGCAATCATTTCCGCTATCATTTGTTGCATATTTAATTTATTTGAGGGTTGGAAGTTTGCTTCTTCTCCGTTCTGACATGTTCGCCCGGCGAAATTGTTTGTTTTTTCATAAATATTTTGAAGTCGTCTTTCATAAATTTGATTTTGATTTATTTGAATATATTTATCTTCTACTTCTGTTCTTATAATTTAAAATACACTATATATATATATTCTGATGTTTTACTCCATTTTTCACAAAAGTATCATTTCATATTTTTTTACACAAAATTATTAAAATTTTAGTTTACCCCCTTATTAATGATTAGACAAATTAATCTCATTAATTTATATAATATGTAATATAATTTAAATTGGATTTTTGGTTCAATCAATATGATCACTCTGAAGTCTTACTCTATTATGGTCTTTTATATTATAAAATTAAATATGCGAGAATCTGCCTCTATACGCTCATGATATATATATTGGGATCTCATATATATTCTAGGCTAGCCAAAGTAGTTAATTAAATTAACTGATGAATATAACCCCAATCTTCTACCAATGGCCGGATAATTTTTCAAAGTTTTCTATATTTTTATATTTTTTGAGAAAATGTATTTAAGATACTATTAATATCAATATTTATTTGTTCAGAGACATTAACTATAATTTGTCTTATTAAATACTCCTTAATTTAGAATTATTGTAAAATGGTAATCATTTATATATTTAAACCATATGATTTTGGGTGATCCCGAAAACTTTAACGGTGAGATCAACGACGATTTGCAAAATCCATATGTTAGGTAAATGCTGGGATGAGATTTTTTTTATGTAACAAAGTGGGATGAGATTAGCATCTATGGGATTTGGTGGATCGCTTTATTGATTACATTTGACCGGTAAAGATATTCTTTTTGTCCAAATAATTCCAAAGATTAACAGGAAAATTAAGTATTTGAACAATCTCCATAAAATAAAGTTCAAAAAAGAAAAACACTCTCCATAAAATATTCTTCTCTTACCAAACTATTTTATTTAAAAAATGAATATTCAATTCATTCTGTTTCCGGTTCTCAAAACTCTTAGCTTGATTCTATATTCCTGTAATAAAATCGACACTGAAGTCTACGTAGTATGTAGAGTCCTATACTAACATCAATTTCTACATTTTTTCAATGGTCTAGAACTTGTATATAAAATTGTTTTTGAAAATGAGTTACAAATAGGTTTACTTTTTCCTCTGAAGGAAGACGAAAATTCTATGTTTATACTAAAGAGAGAGTTAGATATAGTCATGATTAATACTTTTGAACAGATCCCTCAAATTATTGAGGAACCCCGAGGTTGGTTTGGAACCCAATTTGAGTGAAAGTTGGATTTATCGTCAACTAAGATACAGTGAAGACTGAGGAGGTTGATGTTGTCCAAAACATGTTAAAAAAAAAAAGGACCCGTCGAGGAATAAAGAAGCTCAATTTGCGTCGGCCCAGCCCATTTAATTAGTCTTGAAAAGATTTTTCATTGCCAAAAAAAAAATTGTGTTGAATGTCGGATTGCATTATTATTAATACGAAAGATAATTTTTCAATTAATTTAAAACTCAATAAAAGAAAATATTTTAAACTTTGGACCGATCCAATTTATCTGTGCTGGAAAAATTATTTTGTATTATCGAAATTCAAAATTCAACCTACAGTATCATTGGTTAAGCTAAAACCAACCTTGAACTTTTGGTTTAGATTTTAACCAAAAAAAAACTTTCGGTTTAGATTTTAAAACAGTGATAATTATTAGACTAGTGAGTGGCTGAAAAAGGCATCACCGCCGATTCCGTGTTTGGATGGGACCCACATCTTCATTAGTGGCCTCCTATATGATTATTTACACGTGGACGGTCGAGATGATGGTTGTTATCTTCCACTGTTCTTTAGGACATGCCAATTTGAATGACAGGTGTCTCGATTATCATGTCGGCAAATACAATTAGGAGCGAATTATCTTCTTTAATGAACAAAAATATTTGGTTTTCGCGAATTATCAGTTTATCACTATCTTCACTTCTGTGGCTAATGAGTAATGGCTATAAAGGTTTTGGAAGCTTTTAATATTAAAATGAGCTGGATCGGACATAGGAGTGTATAAGTATACTATATATAGTTCAATGTGATTTTTTTTTCCTTTTCTAGAAATATATTTCCAAATAATATAGATAATATGATATACTAGCCTTCGAGTCCAGAATATCCTAACCATAAAAAATTACTAAAATTACTTCAATTATGTAGATTATTTTTTATTGTACCACTAACATGTTACTTGTAAAAGTTCTGTTTTTCCATTTTTTAAATAAAATTAATTCATTTTAGATTTATGAGATTGTCCTATCAAGAAAACATTATAACGGTAAGCAGAGCCGATCCTGAAGCCAAGCAGTATAAACATGGATTTGCGGTCATATTATTTTATATAAATTTTCCTTTAATGGCTCATTTTTTTTGTTATAAAATTTTTTATTTTTTTAATTATAAAACGGCTCATTTGTTATTTTAGCTTTCAACAATTTAAAACTCAATGCCGCTAAAAAGAGAATGTTGCTCACGTCCCGAAATCAATGCGTGATATTTCTAATTACACCAACTTTTAAGAATTTCTTTTGAATTTTGATTTTTTGAAAATGAATTTTGTAAGAGTTTTTCATTAGCATTTTGAAGTTACTACATATAGAAAATTTATTTTTTCATTCTTATTTGGATCATCTAAATCTAATTGTTAATGATTACATATACCATTTTCACTACTTGATATAACATCTAGGATAGGAGCTTCCATATAAGCATGTATAATACAGCCAATGACACGCTGTAACATGAACGAAGACAGAGAGAATCTGTTGAAGATCTCTCAGGTTCCAAACCAAAACTACAAGACCCCATTTATGATGTTACTGACAAAATAACTAAGCCTTGAGCTAGTAGAACCTAAAGAAAGATGTCTTGTCGTGATTTTTTTCAGATTTATATACGTGTGTGGTGATCATGATCGTTGATAGTTTAGAGACAGAGACAAAAGTTGTGGGCTTACACAAAACCCAGTAAAGAACAAAGAGAGATTCTGTCTCTCTGGCTCTGTTTTCGGCTCTTCAAGACCCAAAATATTTGTTTTTTTTTTAAGCTGAGAATTTCAAAAAGGTTAAAAACTCTTGATCTAAAGTCAATGAAACAAACTCATCAAAATCTAAACTACCCACAACGCAGGGAAAAAAAGAAGAAGCTATCTAGATTTTTAGGTAGAGATAACTAGGATGATGTATCAGCAAAGAAGATGAGCAAATCTGATAAATTCTTGGCATTGAGAGATAAGAGAGGGAGAGAGAGAGGTGAAAAACATGTGCATATGGGAGACCAAATGTGGTGGGGGATTCAAAGATTTGATCTGAACCGTTTATCAAAAAGATGGGGAGAAAGAGAAAACGTGTCCCACAAATGTCCCCAAGAAGATGGGACACACTTTTGCCTCAAAGTTGCTGTTACTGCTACCGACAAGCTTAGCTTTTTTTTTCCTTTGTCCTTAATTCAAAAAACAGTTTCTCCTATCAATCTATCTTTATTTTCCTTAACTTCTATAAAACACTCAGCTTACACGAAGCTTCATCTTCATATTCATCATCTCTCCTCCCCTTTCGAAGAGAAAGAACCCAAAAAGCTTTCCTTTTTTTTGTCTCCTGCAACGCTTGAAGAAAACTCTCAGAAGAGGGTTAAAGAGAAGTTTTTTTTGGAGAAATTGTGTGAAAATGGATGAGTTTGCTAACCTCAAGGAAACAGAGCTGAGGCTGGGATTACCAGGAACGGACAATGTAAGTGAAGAAAGAGAGAGAGTTTCGAGCTGTAATAAGAGAGCATCACCAAGTGATACTGAGAATGAGATTGAATCATCAACGAGGAAAACCGAAACATCCCCTCCTCGAAAGTAAGTTTAACACACACAAATTCTCTGATTCTGTTGATTTGGTGATGAGAAACGCTTTCAGTTTATTGACAATAGTGTTTCCTTTTGCAGGGCTCAGATTGTTGGTTGGCCACCGGTTAGATCTTACAGGAAGAACATCATTGAGACAAAGAAGAATGAATCTGATCACGAGGGTCAAGGAATCTATGTGAAAGTAAGTATGGACGGTGCACCATACTTGAGGAAAATAGATTTGAGTTGTTACCAAAGATACTCAGAATTGCTCAAAGCTTTAGAGATGATGTTCAAATTCTCTGTGGGAGAGTATTTCGAGAGAGAAGGATACAAAGGCTCAGATTTTGTGCCTACTTATGAAGACAAAGATGGTGATTGGATGCTCATTGGAGATGTTCCATGGGAGTAAGTCTTGTTTCATATATCTGTCCAGCATAAAATAGAAAATCAAACAATTTGCGAATGTTAATTCTTATGGGTTGTGATTGTTGTTGCAGGATGTTTGTATGTACTTGCAAGAGACTAAGGATCATGAAAGGATCAGAAGCCAAAGGTTTAGGCTGTGTTGTATGAGGCAAGTCTTCAGGAAACCTAACAGAGACACAAGAAACCTAAAGAGAACAGAGTTTTTCTTGATCGAGATAAATCTCTGTCTGTGCTCGATCGGGTTCTCGGGCGGGATCTATGTTCATCGGATTGAGTTCAAGTCATAGCAGTTTTTTACCTTATCGGTAAATTTTGAATGTAGAAGAGTGCTTAATGAGCTCAAACATATGAAACTGGAACCTAATTACCTTTCGTTTCAGAAAACAGGTCAAAAGGTTGTCCTAGTCTTTGGTTATGTATGAGAATTAAACGAAAAGTGTTATGAGAATTAAACGAAAAGTGTTATGAAAATTGAAAAGTTCTTCTACAAATGTTTGTAGCAACCTGTTTAATGTTCTCAATGATGAAAAGAGATTTTCAAGCAAATACCACCAATTATAACTGTTATGGTTCTCAAGGTCAAGATCTGAGATCATATTGTTGATTGTCTGAATTGGAGAAGTCCCATCAATTGATTCATTTTCGATCAAAGCCAACCTAAACAAAGAAGTCGTCATCACTCAAGGTCTTGAGTTAATTGAGCATCATGCATAGGAAAAGTGAAACACCAAATAAATATATATGTATTCCTTTAATTTGTAGCTTCTCGAGACATCTAATTACTCTCCTTTGAATCTTTCTCCGCTCTACTCAAACAAAAGGCATAATTATTTTTTAGGTCAAAGAAGGAAAGTGAAATTTATTTAGCGGGACAACAACTCAAACAAGGCAAAGCAATCAAGATAAGGCTCTCACCAACAGCAAGACGGGTATGGATGTCTTGCTGCTTCTAGCTAGAGACTCGCTTACTTGAGGAGGAAGATTTTGTATTTTTACATCAAAATTCTTTCTTTGCCCCATTCATAAATAATAAATAAATAACATGCGGCATATGGCGTCTCCAAATCAAATCATAATTTCAATCTTAATCTAACATCAGAAAACCAAAAGATTTAAAACATGTACTGAAACCATAAACCCTAAATTCGCAGGATGAGAAGAGGAGCGCGGTTACTTTACGAATCATGCGCCACCGCCGAATTGTTGATTTGTCACGATTATACTACGGTTTCATTTTAACTAGAGCTGTGAAATTACGTTTTTTACTGTTTAGCCATTTTTATAAATTTTATTTTGAGAAATTATTTGTATTTTCTTAAATTCCTTTCTGTGTTTCGGATTATTTCGTTTTCGCGTTCGCAACTTCGCATTCCCGTTTCCATTTCTGTATATAACCTAGGTTACATACTTACATTTACACCATCCAAATTGTGTGCTCAAAATTTGAGTCAATACGAATCAACAATGAATGATCCCTAGCTATATTATTTTACGATGTATGCCTAACTTGTAAATGTTACTCATCGCAGAGTAGTTGAATGTTGAAGAGCTTACGTTATAATTGAATGGTGCACGTTGATTTATGCTAAGATATATTTCCACATACCTATATAAGCTACAATATAATAATCAAAAAAATATACAAGATAATGAAGCAATAATGATGGAAATAATATAAAATAAAATATTGATATAGAACTTGTATGTAATCATAAATCTAATTACCCATTTTGCATAAAACCCAAATGAACCAAACTGACTTCGGTTCAAATATAGTTATACTTCTAGTAGAACCAAAATAATTTGAACTAAACATAAATTAAACCAAACACACATGAAGACCGAATTCTACACCGTTAAAGAGAAGTGACTTCTTCAAGGGTGTTTGATCATTAGATTTAAAAAATAACATCAACCTAAAGATGGAATGTGAAAAGAAAAATATATTAATGATACAAAATAATCTTCCACGAAATTATTTCTTGCCCACACACACAGCTCAGTTTGGTTTGAAGTTCTTCGGCATTTATAGTCCTTCCCAATTTAAAAATAGTATTCTCAAATTTTTGGGTGACTTACCTTTTTGGGTGACTTACCACACAATCTTTCCACGAATCTTCAACACGCAATTCACAACAATATTGGATAGTATATTTATACCAAATCTCATTAGGCACGCTAACTATAATTTCTAAGAATCTAAGATGCATGTGTGGACAGTTACGTTAGCAAAAAAAAATAAAAATTGATTGTTCCTTGTTCCGTTTTTTTTATCGATACCAGTTATGAATCGGGATAAAAAAAAAAAAAAATCAATTTGTGCTTCGAAGTGACGATCTTGAACCGGGGTAAACCGATAGGAAAATAGAAGACTTGGTCTGACGCCGTGTCCCATTAATGAATTGTCAACGCGTCTTCTTCGCAGTTCACACGCGCGTATACTCAACATTGCGAGCTGCCATCCCTAAAATTATACAGATTTATTTAGTTCGGTCCATAATTTCTAAAATTACAATTAAATCCATATCGTTAATGCTAAATGATTCGCCGTTCTCAGTTACTTAACTACCAACCATCACCGCCACCAAAGGTCGGAAATAATTGCATCGTAATGATTACTACATTCTTTTTCCGTCCTTATTCTTATAATTAGTTATAAGAGTTAAGATATGGCTCTATCAAATTTTTAATGTGTTATATATATGTTTCATCATCAGCTTGTAATCGCTTATAATTAACAACAACAAAAATGAGGATCGTCATAATGAAGTTAATGGTGACGGTGTTGATGATGATAATGATTTCTGCCACAAAAATTGTTGGCCTCATTGTTTTTTTTTTGGGGTTAACGTTCTAATGTTCTTTTCAATTGAAAGGAGCTTCATGATTTTATTCATCACCTTTCATTATCTGTAACGCTTTTGTTTCTCACCTTAATCTTTGTGATGTTATTGACATCTAACTGATTTATATTCAAGCACGTATGAATATACGACCATACAGTATAATCATTTCATTAGTAGAATTTTTTTTATTTTTTAAAAGCGATCCATATATTTATTGATACAACTTTTAGGTCCGCAAGCTCCACATACCATCTCACGCCACATTAACAAAGTGGGCCCTCTTGTTCCAAAAACAAAGGAAGCAAAGTAGAAAATAGTTAGTCAACTCATGGGTTTATCGGTAATTTACACCCTCCTCCGGTCAATTCCCATTGACCCATTGGCAAATTCAATTCCATTAAATCGCCACTGTTGAACCATTAAGCGTTCGTTGGAGTTAGTTGTACCTTCTTATACTAATTATCTCAGTTTTTTTTTTTCTTTTTCTTTTTATACTATCTCATAGTTCCATAAACTATATATTCAACATTATTTTAGATCATCAATGCATCTCAACTTATTGGTTTTATATTCAAATAGTCCCTCCTTTTTAAATTGGATGATAAGTAAGACGCATGATGAAATTTATTACTCGTAGTTCCTTCCACAGTTGGGAGAACACAAAATCTATTTCATAAACTAGTTGGAGCGATGAAAGAGGAATACATGAATTACCCATTTGAAGTTTATACGTGTTACTACTATACATAATCTATATTTTATGAAATTTGAAAATTTCGTACCAAAAAATCGAAATTAATATTTGAAATGTATGTAACCGCTGTATAAATTTCACTGCAAGAAATATGAAAAATACCCACCAAAAAATTCAAATAAGTCAAAACCTGAATATTCAGGATGCAAAACTGATCTCCTTTACTTTTATAGTCCGATGGCTAAACTTCACCGCCATGTATATATATACTAAACATGTTTGATCGGTTTGGGTCAAAACCGAATCAATCCATAGTTTGTTCACCTCCACACCAATAATTATAGGAACTACGTACCATAACTACATTTATTAAATTGCCTCGTTCTCTTTCTAAAACGTTGCCTATAAATTCTCAATAATTCTCCAACTTTTTAGGCCATAAGTTATCTCTTTCTCTACATTAAACACTAAATCTCTTCTCTTTTTTCTGGTCTAGCTTGTTAGTTTAAAAAACCAACCATGAATGAGAATCACATTCAAAGCGAGCATATGAACAGTGATTCATCAGTCACCACCATTGAGGTAACAAACAAAAAACTCCCAAACTTCCTCTCATCGATACGCCTCAAATACGTTAAACTCGGTTACCACTACCTTATCTCCAACGCCGTCTACATAATCCTCCTCCCCGTCCTCCTCGCCGCAAGCTCCTCCTTCAATCTCTCCGATCTCACTCTTTTATTCAACCACCTCCTCAATTTCCACTTAGTCTCGTCCACTCTCTTCGCCGCTCTTCTAATCTTTCTAACCACCTTCTACTTCACAACCCGTCCTCGCAAAATCTTCCTCCTCGATTTCGCTTGCTACAAACCCGACCCTTCTCTGATATGCACACGAGAAACATTCATGGACCGGTCTCAACGTGTAGGTATCTTCACAGAAGACAACCTCGCTTTCCAACAAAAGATCCTCGAACGTTCCGGTTTAGGGCAGAAGACTTACTTCCCTGAAGCTCTCTTACGCGTCCCACCGAATCCTTGTATGTCGGAAGCGAGGAAAGAAGCTGAGACGGTCATGTTTGGAGCTATAGACGCAGTGCTTGAGAAAACCGGAGTGAAGCCTAAGGATATTGGGATACTTGTGGTGAATTGTAGCTTGTTTAATCCCACGCCTTCTCTATCGGCTATGATCGTGAACAAATATAAGCTTAGAGGAAACGTTGTGAGCTATAATCTTGGTGGTATGGGTTGTAGTGCTGGTCTTATCTCCATTGATCTCGCTAAACAGCTTCTTCAGGTAATTATCTATTAATTTCAGAACATTAATTATACATAGATTAACGATTTCATTTTGTGTCCTATATACTAAGATTCGCTTTCATAAGAACCACTTGAGAAGAAATAAGAATCTCGTGACAAAATTAATACATTTTTGGGTGGGGAGGTTGGGAGTTTTCTAGTTTTCTTCACGTCATGTCATTATCTATATAATTTTATGGTTACTGATTTTATATGTGAAAATGGTAAAAACTCTAGCTTCGACTATGAGCACGTGCAGTTTAATGAAGTTTGTGTCAGGCTTTTCTTTTGTCTTTAGGTAGGTGGTTGTTGTGAAAATTGAAAACCTAAATATTGTCTTAATAACAAGTACATGCAAATTTTTTTTTGTTCAGAAAAAAGTACATGCATTTTGATTTAGTATACAATCTATGTGTGTGTATAGAATACTTACAAACAGTAGAGTACATATATGTTACGGCCAATCCAAAGTGTGGTATATCACGGATGCATTCGCATAATTGGTAGATCCTGTCGGAATATATATCCATAGTACATATACTATATAATCTTCCGTTTTATGTATGGACGATTCTTAAATGAAGAATTTTTTGATAAAAAATGATTTCTATTTTAATACGATAAATGATTCATGGCATTATTTTTTTGTAATTTTTAACCGTTTACCAAAAAAAAAACAAATTAAATGATTAATAAGACTAAATCATGTGATTAATTTTTAATGACTAATCCTCTCTTAAAAATATATATACGACTTTTCCTTGAATCTTATATTTTTTAGTAAACATTTCTGTTTAAAAAGAGAGAACATGACCATGATATGAAAGTCTATTTTGAAGTAGGATAATTTAATTAGTGTTTTGTAAACAGGATAGATATGGGCTAAAATAAGGATAAACTATTAACATTCATACAACATTGATAGGTGTTCCAACACCACCAAAAGAATAAAAAATATTGATAGGTGACGTATCTTGATTACTTTAGTTATGTTTAATCGATGAATTGTTTGTTGAACAACATCACCAAAAACAACAGGTTTTTAAGGAGTATAAGTTTCATAAAATATAAATACACGTAAGGTCTCACATATGGTGCCATGTATATGTTTAGTGAATTTCATTATACATACTTTCCAACTAATATTATATAATTAATAACATTGAAAGTAGCAAAATTGTGGAAAATAACAACAGTAAAATGAAAGAAATTATGCAATTAGTAAATAAACAAATAAAATTTAAATTAGAAGGAAAAAAAAACTGAACACTAATCGTGATTTTTACAGGATTATATGCTTGGTAAAAACATGCCATCAATGATTCCGTCACAATACATGCGTTTAAATTGCTAACTTTTTGTTTTGTATAGATAAATTAGATTCTTAATTATCAATTGTAATATGATCATGCATGCAGGTCCAACCAAATTCATATGCACTAGTAGTGAGCACAGAGAACATAACCTTAAACTGGTACTTAGGCAACGACCGATCAATGCTTCTCTCAAACTGCATCTTCCGAATGGGCGGCGCCGCCGTGCTCCTCTCGAACCGCTCCTCCGACCGCCGCCGCTCAAAATATCAACTCATCCACACCGTCCGTACACACAAAGGAGCTGACGACAACGCTTTTAACTGCGTTTACCAGCGCGAAGACAACAACGACAACAACAAGATCGGTGTCTCGCTCTCTAAGAACCTAATGGCTATCGCAGGAGAAGCTCTCAAGACGAACATAACTACTCTCGGACCGCTAGTCCTACCAATGTCGGAACAGCTTCTCTTTTTCGCGACACTCGTGGCTCGAAAAGTGTTTAAAGTCAAGAAAATCAAACCATATATCCCTGATTTCAAGCTAGCTTTCGAGCACTTCTGCATCCACGCGGGAGGCAGAGCAGTGCTCGATGAGATTGAGAAGAATTTGGATCTTTCTGAGTGGCATATGGAGCCTTCGAGGATGACTTTGAACCGGTTTGGGAACACTTCGAGTAGCTCGCTTTGGTATGAGCTTGCGTATAGTGAGGCCAAAGGGAGGATCAAGAGGGGAGATAGGACTTGGCAGATTGCTTTTGGTTCCGGTTTTAAGTGTAATAGTGCGGTTTGGAGGGCTTTGACAAGTATTGATCCGTCCAAGAACAAGACTAATCCATGGATCGATGAGATACATGAGTTTCCCGTTCCGGTTCCGAGGATCTCTCCTGTGTCATCTTCGTCGGATTCTCGATAGTTGATTTCTTTTTTTCATCCCTTTAATGTAGTATGATTTCACAACACATATATATATATATATATATATATATATATCTCAAATTCACATTATCAGAGAGATTCACAGTTGTTGTCATTCGATTTCTTTTCTTCTTATTTTTCTAATCTTATTTTGGCAACATTAATTTTATTTAGAAAATTCAAAAATATGATTTTTCTTTACACATAATTTCCGTCTTACATGTAAATTTGCAGGTTAATAATACACATTGCAATAATCTTACAAGATACTGAATCTGAAATATATGTTGTGTTCGTATGCTCTTTGTTTTAATAAATACCTGAAAGAAGGATGGTACAATGGTCTCTACAAATCAAATGATACACCAAAGGTTACAATATGAAGAAACAAACAAGATACACGAAATAATTTCACGACCTATTGTTCTGTGATTCCCATAAGAAGGCTTTAGACCCTAATCATTGGCCATGATTCTCTCTAATTTTACGAGACTGGGACCAAATCTCTCTCTCTTTCTAATGAATCGTTAACTTAAAAAGACTGAGGCCACTCTTAAATCTTCTCTCTTCAAGCTTCAAAGGCTTGAGCTTTGTGAAGAAGTGGAATTACCTGTAGTTGATTTCCTCTTTGTCCGTGAAAGAATCATTTCATGGAGGTCTCCAGCGTTTAGACGATCTAAAGGAGACTCCTCCGTGCAGCGGTGAAACACCTCGATCAGAAATCTCATTGTGTCCAAGTCTGATTCGGTTAGGTCATACTCTTCACGAAGTTTATTGGCTGATTTGTCTTCCTCTGTTTCAGAGATCAATGTCTCTAGCTCCTCTGGTAGTTTTGGCCTTTTTCCCTTCTGGTTAAGATCAAAAAAGAGAATAAACCTGTCAGTTGTCATAGATAATGCAAGTGTAGAGAAGATCTCTCTCGCTCTTCTCTCTCTCTCTCTGATAAGAAAAAGTGGGACAAACCTGTAGAGATTCATGAATCTGAAGCTCGGATAAATCGAAATATGGGATTTGTAGTGTCAATAGCTCGAAGATTAGACACCCGAATGACCAGATATCCACTTCCTGAGAAAACACGAGTACACTCATAACCAAGAAGACGAGAAAAGAGAAACTTTGAGGAACAAGAGAATTTTGGAGAAACGTACAAGTCCGTAATAGTTATGTTCGTGCATTGCTCGGAAGACCTCAGGGGACATCCATCGTGGCGTCCCGACACAGATATTAGGAGGAGGTATTCCCACATGGGCAATACAGCAACCGTGCAAGTGAGACCTAAGCGGAACAGCTCTATCGAAATCACAGAGCTTCACAATAGGTTCTCCGTTTGCTCTTTCATTGTCCAGATCGATCAGAACGTTTTCGCTTTTCACGTCACGGTGGATTATATCCTTCGAATGCAGCTCCATTAAAGCCCCTGAGATATCTCTTGCAATAGACATGGCTAGATTCATGGATACATGGTGCTTACCAGCTTCAGAAAGCTTCTCAATGTGACCCTGTAGAAAGTCAACCATGAAGAAGGTTGTCATCAATGTTACAAAGACTTATTGAATATAAATATAACAAATTAAAAAAAGAATGCTACCTTTAGAGATCCTCCATTTATGTGCTCCATTAGAATAGAAGATTGCAAAATGCGTCGATGTTCGTTTCCATTTTCCGAGGTTATCCACTTGGAAGATATTTCGTGTCCATATAACTCCACGATACAGTCATGTTTCAAGGCTCCTAAAATCCGCACTTCTCCTAAGCAAGTAAACTCAAAAGTCCTAATGTCATCTACGGAAGCTCCAGAAACCTCTAATGTACGCATCTGAGGAAAGGAAATATGAAACTAATTAATCAGCAAGTTTACTTATACCTGAAATGGAGAAAGATTACAGAGGTAAAAAAACAAACCTTCACAGCTGCTTCAGTGGAGCCAAGCTTGCATCGGATAAGACTACTATTAGCTCTTTCAACTCCTTTGCCCGCTGACAGGGAAGAAAAAGAACATCCTGGTTCCAATTTTGCACTTGTGCGAATGGATTCGTTAAGCCGATTAAGAGGAATGTACCTGTAGCAATCAGAATATACAACAAAGAGATTTATCATTCAGCACAAAACTGAACTGAATCTTCAAACGAACGAAACCAAAACTGTCCAAAAAAATTGGTCATATACAGAAACAGCTGAATTAAAAAGAGAATTAACTGTGTTTGTTTGTACACAACTACACACAATTACCCCAATCTCTAAGCATGATAAAATCAGATCATTGACGATGAAGAAAAGATCATCACCTTATGCATCAAAGAGAAAGATATAAGGGTAGAAGATCTAGCACACGACATACAAGGTACCAAGAGAGTAAAAAAATGTTATACCGGCAGAAATATTCTTGATCTGTATCTTCCCTGATGTCATGAGGACGGCAAGCATCAACTACCATACGAACCCATGAGGAACCTTGCTTTACAGGAACAATGTTCCAGGCATGTGGCATGAAGTCTAGATAACCTCTAACAAGCTCACAAGGCACCGGAGGTTCCATACGATCACAAAGGAACTGGAAACACAATAAATAGAAGAAACAAGAATTAGCAATTCACCAAAGAAACCAAAGAGTTCAGACATCCTAAAGCAATAGATTAAGTTGAGTACCTTCATGAGCAAGGCTCTGTGCCTACAGATGCCAAATTGCAGTTTCCCTAAAGGAACCACTATAGAGTTCCGCTTGGACTTGATAGAACGCAAGGATTTTTCACACACATCGGACAAAATGACATCTTCAGCAGTTGGCGAAACCTGTTTGTTAAGAGCAGCCAAGTCGTGTTGATTCCCGGTCAAACAGGTGCAAATAAACGGTTTCTGGTAGTTTGTACCAGACACTGCCTTCCGGGTTCTTTCAACAATAGCAGTTCTGTCACTTCCCCCAAAGTGATCAGACACAAAAAGGGCAAGATATGATGCAACCTGCAAGTTGTCAGTGGAAACTTGGTCTACATCTGCATCTAAATAGTTCAATTTCTTCAATCTAGCTACGAGGGCTCGAGCAGAGAGAGTGATCGCATCCAATACTTCATCATTTGCCCTAAACATAACAGAAAATAGGCAAAATGAGCTTTCCCTCTGGATAAATATAAATGATTGTTTTGTTGAGCTAAAGTAATAGTAATTACCTGTCCAAGAGTATGACTTCACGTGAATCAAGAGGCAAAATTTCCTCATACCTACTAAGAGGCAAAAAAGGCCTATCACGTCCAGCATCAAAAAATCCGTCAGGAAGAGAATCTTCTGTGCTGCAAAATGAGTTGCTGCTGTATTTGTGCGATAGATTAGCAATATCCGTAGATGGCCTATGGCATTTAGAACCTTTTGGGTTATCCAGATACTTATCACGGCATCTCTTCGACTTGTGATTTGGTTTCTTTCTCTCTGAAGAAGAATTATAGTCTGCAGTACCCGCTGTCTCTCCTGAAGAGGGACTAGATGCCTTGATCTCACAAAACTCCTTGCTCTCTCTTTCACTCGTTAATTGGATTTTCACACATCGGGAACTGTCCGAAACCAAATCAGCTTTCAAACTGCTCTCTTCCTCTTCAGAAGTAATGACAGAATCTCCTATTTCAGCCTCTTTTAACAGTTTATCATTGTCATCCAAGCAGATGCTATCAACTGAACCTTTGTCAGTGTTCTGGGAAACAGGGCATGAATGTTTCCTACTTTCGTCGACTATGTCCATCTTCAGATTTAATCCCTCATGAGGGACTTCACCTTTCCATTTCCTGCTGTTGTTCAAGCGCTCTTGCCTTGCCCTGTGCTGGAAGTAATGCTGTCTCCGCTTCCACCTCTTACTTGATTTTCGAGCCGAGAAGCATCTACTGATGGAAGAGACCCCAGTTGACATGTGTGATGGGTTACGGTGGGAGCCTGCACCCACGTGCAAACAAAGAAGAAACAGAAAATTCACCATTCAGTATAAGAATTAAAAATTAAAGCAAAGCATTATCAAACTCTAAGTTTCATTAGGCATACACAGTACAGATGCAAAGGAAAGAAATATTAAAGTCTCACCTTTATGCGGAACACTTATAGCGTTTTGTTCATACGGGGTTTCATATACATCCATTTCAACCATAGAGCTACAAGTATCAACTCCCATCTCTTCATAGTTCCCTCCCAAATTACATTGTATCCATGTGGGAATATTGCAATAACTCGGGAGCTTATTGTACTTGAAAGAAACAGAAAATCCAATAACTTCTGTCAGATTAAAGAATCTAGTGAACTCCTGCAACAGAGTATTTATCCAAATATTATAGCAATTTTGTAAGAATCCAGAGAGTTAAGTACCTGTAAATTCAAAATTTGCAGTCTAGGCATTAAGCTTAGATCGAGAGGATCCAGAGTTGTTAATCGGTTGTTTGATACGTCCAGGCTTTCTAAGTTTTGTAATAAAGCTAAAATCGGTGGTAGCTCCATCAGCCTGTTGTGTGCCACCTTTAAGAACATTAATGAACTTAGATAACTTATCTCGTTAGGCAAACTCTTGATCTTATTAAAAGAGAGATCCAGATACTCCAGACTCTTAAGACATCCAATCTCCGCGGGAAGATATCTGCAGCAAGTGAGGAGACAAAGTTAAATCCAGTCCAATATAATTTGAAGCACCGACTAGGAATGGATACCCTGAACCCAATCCAAAATCCAACCAATTTCACATATTAAATGAAAACCTTCTTAGCAATGTAGGTATTAAATTGGACATCAAAAGTAAGAAAAAGCGAAATATCAACCTATAGACACGAGAAACACACCGCATTAAGCAGCATCAATAGTTCTCTAACTTACGTTTCCTGGAAATTCTACAGGGATGCACAACCGAAACTGTCAAAAGCCACCACATTTTTGAGTTATCAATGCAATGTAGCAAAGGAAGCTGAGAAGCCCAGGAAATAAGGCAATAAGAAGCTGGAAGCGAAGCAATGGAGGATAAAAGGCGAAGCTTTTACCTGATGGAGAAGTGACAAACAGAGAGCCTTGTCAAGCACTTGAGACCAGAAATCTCGCTCAAGAGTGTCAAAGCAGAAGATCGTTTTGGGACTTTAGTAAGCTCGAGCTCCTTCAAACCCTTAAGCTTGCCCCACGACAAGCCATCGCCAAAACCTGGTGAGGAAATCTTCACCTGAAGGTACTCCAAATCGACCAGATTCCCTAACTCCGGCGGAAACAGATCGATCTCGTTACTGAAAAACTTGAGCTTCTTCAACCTCGCAAGCCCTCCAATAGATTTCGGAATCAAATTGAACACGTTTCTAAACAAGTAGAGGCCTTTCACCGAATCATCCGCATTATCCAGAAGGGAAAGCTCCAGATTTTGACCGGAAACATCAACCACCGAATCATCCTCTAAACTTATAACGCTACTAATGGTAGAATCACTCTCGTGACCTCCATCAATGTCCGCATCCTCGATAAAATTATCAGGCTCTTTGTTCTTCACTTCCGTTTCCCCGCGTCTGATAGCTTCTGTTGAAGTACCGCGCGAACCAGAGACCTCCATTGGATCTCGTCTCAGCAATTAGGAACGCCGGAGAACCGAAATCGGAGAAATTCAAAGCTAGAAAGCGAAAATTACGTTAAATTCGCGAAACCTCACGGAGAAAGAGGATATCTGTGAGGTGAGCGCGAGAATAAAAGTTTAATTAGGAAGCCGGAGAAGAGGAATCGAGGCCAGAAGCGATGGCGAGATGGGGACGGAGGAGGCGCTCGAAACCATCGAAGGAGAGAAAGAGAGAGAGAGAAACCCTAGGTCCTCGACAAGACGTATCAGAGATTACTCGAACGTATCTGAAAATGGTAAAATCTAGTAATCTACATTGTATTTCAATACCGACAGTATTATGAATCTCATTCACGCGCTTAAGGCAAGAGTAAAAAAGGAACATTTTACCCTTTTGATGTCTGTAATTATATTCTTTTTAATTCAGATTTAAAAAAGGAATTAATTTTAACGTTGATTAATGCGATTAAGTTAGTGGGCTATTGTTTTAGACAACTAGAGGACGATATTGCTAAGGTAATCAAGTAAGGGGACATATTAGAGAAACTTTCCCAAAATTTTAAGGAAGCAATTTATCAGCTTAAGTAAAGAGTGTATTTCTGTTGCGGTAAAGTAGATAAAGAAGAAATGTAAAGAACGAGAATTGTTGAAACGGAAGATCAATCGGCCAAAATAACCATGAGTAACTTTTCCGAGATTATTACACATATATATATAGAAATATAAAGGTATGTATATCCGTAAGAGCATTAACTTTCAGACAAACAGAAACTCCAGTCGTTATTACAAAAGAGATAGTAAGAGTTACCTATTAATGGATTGAAATCTATCCACTGAAAACCTACAATGCTATAAAATAAAAATTTGGAGAATAATTACGTCTTTTTCAGTATTATCTTATTTTAAAACCCTAAAATCGTATCCCTAAAATATAAATAATATATACATAAGCCCCGCCAAAACTCTCCTAATAGCTATGGATCGAAGACGATTCTCTGCTCTTGCACCTTCTCATTCCCTTCCACTTCTTCTTCTCCTCTTCCGTCTCCTATCTGTTTCTGCAGATAATTCCGTTAAGATATACCATTCCAAAAATAGATTAAGGTACGATCTTATTCCTATAGCATTTGTTGGATTGGAATTAGCTACTTACTTCAACTTGGTGTGGCACGAGGAATAAGTTGATGGCGTCCGGATTAAAACTGAATCCGCTGCGACCAAAAAAAAGAAAGGTGATAATAGGAATGAGATCGGCCTTCTTCGTTATTAACATCGTGATGAAAAAAGTAGAGAGGAAAGAGTGAAAAGTGTATTACCATCGGGAAAAAGCTAGTTGCCAAACGTATGGAATGAAGAACTCTTCCGGGTGGGTCTCTTGTTCATATGAGAAGTGAAGTTGAGTAAACATCTGCGGTAACAACAGGAGGATAATGAAAGAAAGATACGTTATGAATTTTTGTTATGAATTTTAGATGAAAGAAAATATTATTATCAGTGATAGATACAAGTGTAAAAGAGAGTTTGTCTTTACCTTCATGCCTTCGCCTCGCCAAGACCGGCAATTGTTGATGATGAATTGAAGAACTTTCTGCACTGACCATTCTCGATCCGTTCTTTGAGAATCCATGCGGCTATTGAAAAAGTCTAAGACCTAAATTCATAATGATAATTAGTTAGGCAAGTGAGAAACCGATCAATCAGATACTCTCTTTTTTTTCAATAATTTAAAAGTCTATGAAACTGTGATGGATCATACTGTGTAAATATTTTCGACTAACTCATGGAAACGCGGATGGTTCTTGAAAGGTTGGAACACTTCTTGCCGATGCATAATTGCATAGACAACCTGCATAAACCAGAATTCACAGACTCATTCAGAGCAGGAAGAACAATGATGTGATTCATGCTGCCAAGAAAAAAATGACAATGTGATACCTCAGGATTTCTTGGCAATGCGTATGTCAAAATTGCATTCAATATATCTAGGACAAGTCTCAGGAAATCAGTAAAGATCTGCAACTCTGCTGCCTGCAGTTAGAAAAATACATGTAAATATAAACCAGAAATTAAAGGATAACAATGATCCACTGCCACATATTGGGTGCTTGAACTAACTATATCTTACCAGATCTTCCGAAACGCAATCATCCTCTCCGGACATGCTTATTTTGATACTTTGCAGCTTATCACCCGTCAACTCCGATAACTTGTTATACCTGTGTTAAGCAGTTAATGTTCAGTTAAATAGGAACCGTAATCAGCATAATCACAGATAGCGAATATGCAAGTCATAGAAAGATGAGGAATTAGGTGCATACTTTCGAGAAAGCATGTAAAAAAGGCTGACAAGTCTCTGTGAGGCATATGCACTTAAATGATGGGCATGAGGTGCCATGTTAGCCAAGGTAGCAAGGCAAGTAGTCTGCAGATACACATCCTGTAAAAAGCCAAGAAACAAATTTTTGTCACAAAGTTTCATTTTACACTCATTATATCCTAAGTAGCCATTGTGTTATACATCTCCAAATAAGTTGCAGTTTCCAATTTGATACCTAGCTAAGATTTTTAACTTGACTACACTCTTACAAGGCTTGAACCTACCCAACGGCCAAACTATGAAGTACATATCGAAACACATTTTTTGTTGCTAATATATGAATCAAAGCTATACCCGCAGTTTAGAAAGGTTGTGCTGCACTGTTCTTATGAGAATAATGACCATTAAGGAACCAAGAGACGTCTGATGAAGGAGATGCTCCTTGTACCATGGAACGCTAGGCAGTATCTATTCAAATGAAACGTAATCAGAATAAATAATGAAGTTCGGTAATTTCAATCCTACAACTGGAAACAGCACGTACCATCTTGTGAATGCTTGAGTTGAAAGATGAATCCTGGCTAAGTATGAGAAGTACAATAAGCATCATGTATATTTGATTGGATGATGTTCTCATCGAAGCGTTATACAGCGTTTCCAGAATGGGCATCAACTGTGTCCATCAAAATATATATTATTAAACCATAGATCACTGATATGAAACCATAAGAACTTTACCTCTAGAAATAAAACAGTCTAGGGTTAACAAAACTGAGGAACGGATTTCTACTTTTGAGGACAAAAGAAATGAAACAGACACATTGAGTGGAGTTTATGAATCATACCATAGTATCCATATCAGTTCGCACCAATACATACTCCTTAAAGTCGGAGTTCCCTTGCAACAATGAGTATAGGAGCAAGACAGCGCCCTCATCAGCCAAACACCTACATTACCAGATTGCGTTATTAACCAGTAGCAAAAAGCTTACTGAATAAGTCTTTAATACATGATAAAACTCTATAAAACCAAAAACAAGTTACCGTAGAGAAATAACTCAAGAAAATACAACTTACATGCCGAGAGTATCAAATAAAGAAGCAAATGGTATCCGAACATGTGGACCAGGGTGGGCATTTCCCTCCACATCTGAGCGGTCAACTGTAATCAGGGTAACAGTTTAGATTTACATTTAGGACTCGCCCTGCCAGAAAGATGACGAAAAACGAAGTTCTCACATTCGACATCTCTAGCGTTTGCTAGAGCCTTGCTGAAAGTATTGCCAGCGGAAAATACATGCACTTTAGAAACTGATTCAGAAGTAGCACTGTCATCACTTTTATCCGTCATAGACTCATCACTCATGATAGACTTGTGGTAGTTAGTGAGGATAAGCAAAACGTGAAGGCTCCTCTCAGCTAGTGGATTTTTAGATCCATCCCCACTATTATTTACAAGATAGTTCAAAGGCAAGAGCACAAATGTCGCTGCATATGCAAAAGAAAAGTGTTCATGAATACATGGAATGTTTCACGAAACTAAGTAGGAAACAACAATGCATCAGAAAGGCAATAGAAAAAGGTCAGCATAGACAAGTTAGTACAATAATACAACTTGTATGAAGTAATACGAATACCTACCAGCTGCAGAACCAACTCTTTCCAGAATGCCTGGTGAATCTCCATCAGAATACATATAGGATTTGGCATTTGCAGGAGTACGGTGTCGGGAAATATAATTAAGTAGCAATCTCCTGACCGCCAGACAAACTATAGACTTTTCCTGAAAATTGTTGAAGCAAAGGGAAAGGTGAAAATGGATAGGGGAAAAATATGAAACATACAAGGAAAACTAAAAACATTTGTTACCTGCGCCATTGCTGCATCAATAAAAGGGTTTGAATCTCCTGGTCCAGGTGATGGTCCAGAGAGAAGCTGTGTCGACATTGTAACAAGCATGAAGTTCAGAAGTTCCTGATGTAGAACATACGAGTTGGGACTTGCCAAATAAATGATAAAAATCAGAATGGAACATCTAATACTGAAAATTTTATGACTAAATAAAATATAGAACAAGCATGGAATACCTCACTTCAGTTGATCCAATAAAGCTCAGCACACTATGCATGACAAAATTCTGGATGTCTTGATCTGCCATTAAAAAAATCTTAATAAGCCAACTCAAACCCGATTAGGATAACCTCAATGCTGGAAATAAGTTAGAGCTATTAGAGAGTCATTACCCATTACAAAGCCATGTGGAACTGGCTCACTTTCGTCCAGCGAGAGATGCAACTCCTCGAGGCTGTCGCTTTTTCCATTCTCAATCAAATGCTTCAAAAAGACGGATGAAATATATGTTGCATTCACAGCTTTCTTATAGATAGAAGCCTGAGCATCGGAAGCTTCGAGAAGCTCTTGCAAACACCACGATAGATGAATCAATAGCTTCGCGAGGTGCCTAGTATAGCCATTGCTTTGTGCTACAAAGGGCAACAACAACAACAATCAAAAATCGAATTCGACACACATCCTTTATATTCCTAACCCATATGCACAACTACACTCAAGACTAATATAGTGTAAAACATAATCTGACAGGATACAGAAATTGGAGGAAAATTCCGAAAACGATTTTCAATTTCAGTTACCGAAGAGCAAAAAATATGTGGAAGATGCAACGAAATAGACTCGCGAAGCACTAGAATTCAACGCATTTTGTATGAGAATCGCTAACCGAATAGTTCACAGGCTTGATGAACCCGATCACTAGGCCACCGAGAGCTCAACGGAAGCTCAAGTAGCTTATTCCAGAAATCAGATGCCAAGGGAAACGATTTCTCGCCGACAAAAGTCGCAATGAGGTACTCCGCCACCGAAACATCATCAGTCCCGGTGTTTCGCGGCGTTGAAGGCGCACCTCCCATGTCCCCTAAGCCCTGTGCGCGATT